AGCCCCTCATTTATCTTTCTTTAGTGGTGTGTGTGCGTGTATTACTGAGTATTGAGCCATGGAATGCTGAGCTGGTTCCCTAGCCTCCCCCTCAACGTCTCTCTCAGTCTGCCCCCCTCTTTAATTTTGAGACAGGGTCTCAGTGTTGTTGAATTGCTCATGCTGGCCTCAAACTTGTGATCCTCCTGCCTGAGTAGCTGGGATTGCAGTATTTGCCACTGTGTCTGGCTTAGTGATTCTTTATGTATATAAACTATGTGTTAAAACCACTTCTCAAAGTTTTTTTTTTCCTCAAACCTAGTATGAAATAATCTCCTGAGCAGCAGTTATTTATTTCTTGGGTTAGGAAACTCTCTAGCTTGCTTTCTCTAAAAACTCTCTGGAATATACAGATGGTTTTTATACCTCAGAGTTGGTACTATTGCTAGAGTCCTAGGGCAGAGGGAGGCCTGACTTCAGGGAGTTCCAAAAAATCAGGTCTGAGCCTGGCATGGTAGTGCATGTCTGTAATCCCGGCTCTTGGGAGGCTGAGACAGGAGTTTGAGGCCAATCTGGGCTGCATAGTGAGTTCAAGACCACCCCTGGGTTCAGTAACAAGATCCTGTCTCAATACAAAACAAATCACATCAGATATGACCAGTCACCTGAAAGATCAAATGGGGGAAAAAAGTAATGGTGAAAACAGGAAAGGAACTTACACAATACTCTTAGAGGTGTATTGGGAAGACGGCAGGATGCAGTGGAGATGTCGAAGCATCTGCAGCCCTGTCTTCAACAGCTAACAAGTGGATTAAAGAGGGAAGCGGGGTATAATTAATCAGTCTTGGTCAGACTGGTCTGATTGATGGTTATCTCAGTTCTGATTCTGCAAGGCTCTAGGAAAGTCTTATCTCTTAAAGGGGCAATTTGGTTTTCACGAGATGATTACTCCTACTTGGGAAGGCAGTCTCAGTTCCTGTCATGGGGTGATTTACCTGCAAGGCTTGCCATTCCCAGCAGGTTAGGGTAATGACTGCAGACTTTTAGGCACCACTCAGGTATCTGGAGATAGCCATACAGTCAGTCAGTTCACAATCTGTTGGTATGTCCTTTAAGTTTTGAAAATACCTGAGTTACTTTTATCTTGGTGCCTTGTCCCTGAAGGAGGAAGAGCTTGTAGTTTTATATGAACACTGCTTAAGTGATTAACATGCCTATGTATTGAGTTGAGCAGAGTTTAAGGTAATAAAGAAGGCAGATGCATAAAGAAGGCAGAGATACCAATACCATGAAGTAATAGTATTGACTACAGTAAATTTATTTCTTGAAAGAGCATAAAAACTAACCCTTTTATATTACATAGGATATTTAGAGACATTCTTCATAGAGAAAGGAACACTGGACCTAGTTTCTGTTTACTTAGAGCAAATGATCTTTTGTTACAGTACAAGAAATAGAGGATGAATATAAGAAAGTATTTTCTGTTAAGTTATTGTGATAATGTAGAGAAAGGAGTTGTAATGCTTTCTTCAATATTCTTTAAAGAGAGAGGGGGCTGTTCGTAGGATCAGTTAAGTGAGGACTTCCTAAAGGCTAATCTGTATAATCACATGGTATATTTAACATTTTCAGATGAAGTTAATTTTAAAAACTTCTGAGCAGAGTAATTATGAAAAGTACAAATTATTAATGTTTTAGAAGATTAGGAACAACCTGACATAAGATTGCAAACTTATGTCATTAAAATAATTTATACATTAAAATATTGGGAAGATATATGGTTTGTTTTTATGTTAAGAGTACATAGACCAAAGAAAGGTTTTTAATAGTCTAAAAAAATTTAAGATTGTATAGATTATATTAGACAGAAAAATTAATATTTGTATAAAAAATTCACAGGTTTATTTCATGAAGAAAATGTAGGCCTTAAAGCATGCAGCCTATCCAGCTGATAGATGAGGTTAAGTCACAGAGAGTGTGGCTTTCCCTAGGCCACACAACTGATTTTACACTGGAGACTGTGGTTCTCCTGAGTAAGAACTTCAGGCTCCTCCATGAAATGCATATTTCAGCTGGGTACATTGGCATGTGCCTGTGATCCCAGTCTTGGGAGGCTCAGGCAGAACGATCCCTTGAATTCTGTGCTAGACTGGGTAACACAGCAAGACCTTGACTAAAAAATTCCTTACAAGGACACACCATTTTTTACAACCAGTTTTTGATTGTGGCACAATGCCTATAATCCCAGTACTCAGGAGACAGAGGCAGTAGGATCACAAGTTTGAGGGCAGCCTAGGCTTTATAATAAGTTCAAGGCCAGCCATAATAGAATCCGGTCTCAAAAAAGAAACAAACCAGAAAGCCGGGCATGGTGGCACACAGCTGTAATCCCAGCACTTGGGAGGCTGAGGCAAAAGGATTGCTGCGAGTTTGAGGCCAGCCTGGACTACATAGTGAGTTCAAAGCTAGCCTGAGCTGTATAGTGAAACCCTGTCTCAAAAAGACCAAAAAAGAAAAAAAAAGAAAAAGGAAAAAAAACCATTTTTTGTAGTTAAGGGAAGAAAGGAAAATTTAAAAATCTGTGTTAAGCAGTTGATAAACACTTAGGTTAAATATTTATTGTTTTAGAATTGAAATTTCTCTTAACTAAAATGCCTTTTTTTTTAATCCCACCTGCGTTTTGTGCAATTTGCTGGAAGAAGTGATACACCTGTCGAGGCACAGCGGCCCATCAGCAGTGAAGTCCTGGGCCAGAGCACAGTTTCAGAAAAAGAGCCGGCAAGTGGAGCACAGAATCCAGGATCAGCTAAGCAAGAAAAAAATGAGGTAATATTTGCCATATCTGGTATCTTTTAGAGTTATTTTCTTTGTAAAAAGTGACAGGGTTTTTTTAAAGAGGAGAGTTTTAATTTGATTTGGCTCATGAAAATAATAGTATTTGGTATATAGACTTTTAAAATAATTTTGTGATAGTTGAGAGTAAGAGAGACTATCTAAGCTTATTAATTATTGGCATATTTTTTTTCTCCCTAAAGAATATATGATGTATTTAGTTGTTATTGTGTATTTTTTAACATTTTTAACAGGTGAATTAATTAAAAATGTAAAATACCACAGTTTATACAACGAAGCTCAAATAATTGAATGTACTTTAAGTGTGGAAAATTTGCATTTTAAACCACACACTCATATTTTACTAATTAGATTTAATGAACAAAAAATTAGATATTTACAATATTGAATTATATTTTTAAATAAATCTAGGGTTCCAAATTGTTGTGCCACTTTGATATTTTTGAAAGGAAATTGTATTGTGAAAGGATATTGTATTATAAAGTAGGATGTGAGTTTTACATAATATTCCACTTAGAAGAGGCTTTCTCTCTTTTAAACCTGTGGCAATTTTTTTTTTTTTTTGGTTTTTCTCCGGTACTGGGAACTGAACTCACGACCTTGCGCTTGCCAGGCAGGCCCTTTGCCGCTGAGCTAAATCCCCAGCCCCACCTGTGGCAATTTTAACCTGATAATATACTACTTAACTACATTTAAAGAAACATGATCTAAACATTCATAGTATGTTATATCTTCACTCCAGACCTCATGTTCTCAAGACAAAACACCTTTAAGGAAGAGGGAGAAAAAAGGTATCTTTATGTGTCATAGTGTGAAAATTGGAATACTGAATCAATAGAGCTGAGATATATTGTTCATGTCCTGTGCTTTCTGAATATTAACTCTTTAGTCTTGGAACTAGCCTTAACGGTTATCCCTCCTTCCACGCTCATCAATTTGGACTGTATTGGGTATCAGGTATTATTATTATTTTATTTTTTTGGCAGGATCTCATTATATAGTCTAGGCTCACATCAAACCTGTATTCCTCTTGCCTCAGCCTTAGCAGTGCCAGGATTACAGGCACCTCTGCACCTGGCAGTTGTAGTTCTTCTTACACATATCAAAGCTCATTGTGAACAGTGAGTTCTGGCTTGCAAAAGACCATTTATTTTTTGCACTTGTCTGTAAGTTTTAGTTCACAACTTAGACAAAAACAAACACATGTGCTGCTTAGAAGAGATTGATAAATGGTTTTAATAATTTGAATAATTTAATTTTCAGCTAAATCTTAAAGGAATTAAGAAAATTATTACTAAAATTACATATAGAAGCTGGGTGTGGTGGTGCATGCCTGTAATCCCAGCAATTGGGAGGCTGAGGCAGGAGGATCGTTGCGAGTTGGAGACCAGCTTGGGCTATAAAGTGAGTTCAAGGCCAGCCTGAACTGCATAGTGAGACCTTGTCTCAAAAAGACAATCAATCAATCAGTCAAATCAATCAGTCAATCAATCAATAAGAAAGAATTGCATATAGATATGTATCAAACAGTAGAGCCCCAGAATATGATGTAAACATTGACAGAATTGAGAAGACAAATAGACACTTCTGAAGTAAGAGTTAGAGACTTCAGTGTCCTACTTATAGTAATAGATAAGAACTTCAAGTTGAAGATAAATGAAGGTATAGAGGACTCAAACAGTACTATAAATTAGCTAGGTGAACGGACATTCCACCCACAGTGCGTATAGAACATCATTTAGGGTAGACCATTTATTAGGGCATAAAACAAATCTCAATACATCTTTTTAATTTTTAAGGAGAATTGTAAAAAAAGAAGAATAGCAAAATGCCAACAACATACACAAAAACAAAACTAAGAATGTTATAGGGTTTCAGAACAAAATGATAAGGATGAGCAGTGGTTGTTAAGTTACGTATTTTTATCTTCATTGAAGTTGGTCAGATTACCAGATGTAAGAACGCAAGATTAATTAAACCATTGAAGAGAATAAAAAATAAAAAAAATTATAAATGATACAGAGTTTCACCAAACAGGATGTTAGGAATTCAACAATGGTTGTTATATTGCATGTTGTTGTCTTCAAATTAGTTGTTCAGAAATCATAATAAAGTGTCGTTGCTGACCACAGTGGAATGAAGCTGGAAATTAACAAAAGGAAAACTGGAAATCCACAAATTTGTGTATTTTCTATATTTTCTATATAATGTCATTAGTGAATAGATATGACAGACTTAGCTAATGAGTTGCAAAAATCACATGGGAAATTGGAAAGCAGACTGAAAATGAGAACATACCACATCAGAATTTATAGGATTTAGTGAAGGAAGTGCCTGAAGGAAATTCGTAGACATAAATGTAGAAGAGGTGGAGTAGGTGATGGAGTGCTTGTGTAGCATGCACAAGACCCTGTGCTCAGACTTGAGTACTGCAAAAACAAATAACAACAACAACAAAACACCCAAAAAGCAACAAAGTTATTTGACTGGTGAAGATGGTGGCTTCTGTGGTGAGTCCAGCTGTTGAGACAATGAGCTGGTGTGAGATTTTTTTTTTTTTTTTTTTTGTGGTACTGGGAATCAAACTCATGACCTTGCACTTGCCAGGCAGGTGCTTATGCCGCTGAGCTGTATCCCCGGCGCTGGTGTGAGATTTACATCCACTTACAGCACTGCTTACCTAGCAGCCAGAGCATCAGGGCTATGTTGGCTCGAAGAAGATAAACCTGGGCTTCCTCATTCTAGTTTGTGATTGCTCTAGGCTTGCTGTGCATTCAGCCAAGAGAAGAATGCCTCTTTGAACAGCTTACATGCTGGTCATGTATCTGGAGCCCTTGAGGATGTGCCGAGTGGTAAAACCTGAAGTATCTACTGTGGATTATGAGCAAAAGCCTCAGAGTTTAGGCCCTGCTGGACTGAGTACAATGTGGCAAAATGTGTTTTTCCACTTCTTATAAAGCTTGTGCTGTAAAAATAGAATGAAATGGTTAAACCAATAATCTAAATCTATGACTTGAATTAGAAAAAGACAAGTTGAGCAGGGGCTGTAGCTCAGTGGTAGAGTGCTTACTTAGCATGCGTAAGGCTTACTTAGTTCAGTTCCCAGCACTGCAAGAAAGATTTAAAACCAGTCTTCAAACTCTTCTAGTGGTTGTGGTGGTGCATGCCTGTAATCCCAGCACTCAGGAGGCTGAGGCAGGAGGATCACTGCGAGTTTGAGGCCAGCCTGGACTATATAATGAGTTCATGGCCAACCGGTAACTACATAGTGAGTCTGTCTCAAAACAAGTAAAACTAAACTAAACTAAACAAAAAAAACCTCTTCCAAAAAGTAGAAGAGGAAGAGCTACATGTGGTAGTGCATGTCTATAATCCGTCACTCAGAAGGACAAAGGCAGGAGGATTGTGAATGCAAGGCCAACCTGAACTACTTAATTCCAGGCCAGCCTGGACTACATAGCAAAACTATTTATTTATTTATTTTTTTTTTTTTGGTTTTTCTCCGGTACCGGGAACCGAACTCACGACCTTGCGCTTGCCAGCCAGGCGCTTTGCCGCTGAGCTAAATCCCCAGCCCCCTAGCAAAACTATTTAAAAAAAAAAAAAGAGGGAATACTTCCTAACACATGCTGTGACATCATTACCTTGGTACAAATGCGCGATAAAGACGTCACAAGAAAACCACAAATATTTTTAGTGGATATAAAAGAAATGAATCTTTAAATACTAGCAAGACAAATTCAACTGCATATTAAAAGAATTAAACAATGTGACCAAGTGGGATTTATTCTAGAATGCAAAGGTGGTTCAACAGAGGAAATCAGTGTGATATGTGACACTAACAGCATGGAAGAAAAAAAATCACACGATCATCTTGATGCATTGACAGAATCTAATATCTTCTCATGATAAAAATTTTCAGAGGGCTGGGGATTTAGCTCAGTGGCATAGTGCCTGCCTGGCAAGCGCGATGTCATGAGTTCGATTCCTGGTACTGGGAAAAAATTTATTTATTTATTTATTTATTTATTTCCAGAAAACTAGGAATAAAGGAGAACTTCTCATTACAGTAAGTGGTGCCATCCATGGTGGTACACACCTGTAGTCGCAGCATTTGAGAGGCTGAGGCAGGAGAATTGTGTTTGCCTGCATAGCAAGTTTGAGAATGTGCTAGAAGCATAGTGAAACCTTGTCTCAAAAAAGAAATGGTTAAGGGCCTTTATGAAATATCCATAGCTGACATACTCAGTGGGAAAAGATGGAGGGCTTTCCTTTAAAGCAGGAGCAAAGACAATAATGCTACCTTTCCCCACTGCCATTGAACATTTCCTGGAAGTTCTAGCTACAGTAATTGGACGCTAAAAAGAAATAAAAGACATCCAAATCTGAAAAGAGATAAAACTAGCTCTATTCACAGGTGACATGATCCCTAATATAGAAAATCCTAAATAGAATTCACAAGAAAGCTACTAGGGCTAATAAATTCAACAGATTGCAGAGTAGAAGATCAACAGACAAAAATCACCCATATTTCTTTTTATTTTTTATGCTAGGCAAGTGCTCTGCTTGGATTTATATACATTTTTTATCTCCATATGTACCTATTATAGGCTAGGAGTACAATAGCTACTTATTAGCTTATAGCCATACAATAGCTACTTATTAGGTGTGATGACACATGCCTATAATCCCATCACTCAGAAGCCTGAGGCGGGAGGATTGTTGTGAGTTCGAGACAGCTTGGGCTACAAAGTGAGCTCAAGGCCAGCCTGAACTGCATAGCAAGACCCTGTCTCAAAAAGACAATAGCTCTTATTGAATAAATGGTTATATCTCAATGCTTACAATTTCATTCCATGTTTAAGAAAGTCAAGAAATGAAGTACCTTGTTCAAAAGCTCTGGTCACATTTTCAGTAAATTCTTTCCGTTTAGCTGAAAGAGAAAACCATTATCTGAGTTTTCCCATTTAAACAGATATACAGTATGAAGCAGATAATACCTTGTGATCATGCTGCTTTAAATACTGTAAGGCAGGGACCTTGGATTCAAAGTTAAGACTTTTTCACCTTTGTCTTTGCAGATACCATGACATTAGCTACTATTTAATGCAAAATTGACTGACCCTAGTCATACTGTTTCTCTACTCATGAAAGATCTGAGAGTCAATCACTATGGCTTATAAAATGCCTAAAGAATAATTTAAGAAAAACTGGGGCATGGCAAAGGCTGCTATAGTTTGGACAAGTGTGCCCCAGAGGCATATACAGTGAGGTATTATTCAGCCATAAAATGAAGTTCTGATGCATGCTAGAGTATGGATGAATCTTGAAACCCTCATGCTACATTAAATAAGCAGCTACAAAAGGACCAATATTGTATGATGCCACATATATGAAATACCTAGAAGAGGCAAATTGACAGAAATAACATAGACTAGATTAGAGATTACCGGGGGCTGAGACAAAGAGAAAATGGGGAGATACTGCTTAATCGTTACAGTTTCTGTTTGGGATGATGAAAAAGTTTTGAATATGGTGCTTTTTATGCAACATTGTGAGTGTAGTTAATGCCACTGAACTGTTAACTTAAAATGGCTAACATGACAGCTTTTATGTAACATTTTTCTGTAAAGAAAACTCAGGTACATAGGGATAATTTTATCTGAGTTATTGCTATAGCTTATGATCAAGAAGGTTTTTTGTTTTTTTTTTCAGTATGGGAGATTGAACCAAGAGCATTCACACTCAGCTGCACATCCAGCCCTTTTTTATTATTTTGACAAGGTCTTGCTAAATTGCTGAGTTGCTCAGAATGGGCTAAAATTTGCTATCTTTTGTCTCAGCCTCTCAGACTGCAGGATTATAGGTGTGTGCAACCATGCCTGGCCAAGAAGGAGATTTGTTTTCCAGAGAAGCAAAACAGTTTCATCTTTAGGTAGTTGTGCAGGACTCTTGGTTAAACTTACTATGAGTGTTTGTCAATTTTAGAGATTATTGATTTTTTTTCAGGGTAATCCCAACGAAATATGACTAGACTTTGGCTTCATGGGGGGGGGTCTTTCCTTGCCAATATTGGCAATATTCACTATATCTCAGTCCTGAAAGTTTGAGTGCTGTATAGTTCTTTTAGAATGATTTCATACAGGGGCTGGGGATTTAGCTCAGCGGTACAGCGCCTGCCTGGCAAGCACAAGGTTCTGGTACTGGAAGAAAAATGAAACAAACAAATAGAATGATTTCATACAAACATTGAGACTGCTAAATTTAATGCTCACTTATGAGAGAACATTTGAAATCTTTAAAAAAAAATTTTTTCTGGTTCTTCCCCCAAATAAAAATGACCATGAAAAGTAAATATTTTAAATTGATTCAGGACATCAAAACAGCTATGACAGCACAATTAAAGATACTCATGGCCAGGCGGTGGTGGCACACGCCTGTAATCCCAGCACTCAGGAGGCTGAGGCAGGAGGATCGTTGTGAGTTCGAGACCAGCCTGGGCTACAAAGTGAGCTCAAGGGCAGCCTGAACTGCATAGTGAGACTGTGTCTCAAAAAGACCAAAAAAAAAAAAAAGATACTCATGAAAGAAGACTTCCAAAGCAGCTTTAGAAAGTGGCAAGAATGATGTGAAAAGTGTGCCAAAGTGAGGAAGATTAATGGCAGTGTGTCTTTTACTGTAATAAAATTTTTAAAAATTTAAACATTCACTGTCTTTTTTTATCATACCTTGTATTGTTTTGTAATTGTTAAATTTATCTAATTGTATATTTTATTCAGCAGTTTTAAGAAGGTACTGCAGAGCAAAGACACACACTCGGTTTATTTAAATGTATTGTTTTCTTCTAATATTTTTAAGCTTCGAGATTCCACTGAACAATTTCAAGAATATTATAGGCAAAGATTACGTTATCAACAGCATTTAGAACAGAAGGAGCAGCAGCGACAGATATACCAACAGATGTTGCTTGAAGGAGGGGTGAATCAGGAGGATGGCCTTGATCAGCAGCAGAATCTTACTGAGCAGTTCCTTAACAGGTTGGTCTTCTAGTTGCTTTTTTAAATGAAAAGAATAATTTTAAAGCTATTTAAAGAATTTAATATCTGCAACTTCCCTTGTCCTTTGAAATTTTCAGGCTTAAGTGTAATATGGAATTTACATGTTTTCCTGTGATAGAATACTGAGTATCTAGTTTTTTCCTTCCGCCCTAAGCAAATAGAGCAAAAGAGTGGTAGTATATTCCACAGGCTGGAACTGAACTGCCAGGGGGATCCAGATCTGACCGACAGTATTTAAGGACATAGGGCAGTGATGGCAAACTTTTTAGAGCTTTGTTTTGCGGGGAGGGAGCTGCTGGGAATTGAACTCAGGACCTTGTGCACACCAGGCCGGCGCTGCACCACCAAACTATATCCCCAGCCTTTTTTTTTGCCTGTCTTTTTGAAACAGGGTTTCACTATGCAGTTCAGGTTGACCTTGAACTCACTTTGTAGTCCAGGATGGCCTTGAACTCAGGCAGTGTAGTCTAGGATGGCCTTGAGCTTGAGGCAATCCTCCTGCTTCAGCCTCCTAAGTACTGAGGTTATAGGTGTGCACCACCACGCCCAGCTGCCCTTTTAGAGCTTTCAGTGATGACAAACAGCCTGCTGCGATGTGTGCCATAGGTTCGTCACCACTGACCTAGGGGAAGCTTCTCTTTCCTCATGTACTTCACAAGGTTGCCATAAGGGTTAAATGGTTAATCTATGTAAAGGCTTAGAATGGTACCTGGCACATTTTAAGTACTATATTGGTAGCTGATATTTCTGTAATTATTATAAGTACTTAAATCTACAGATTCAGCCAAGCATAGTGGTGTGTTTCTATATTCCCAACTACTTGGCAGGCTGAGCCTGGAGGATCACTTGAACTCAGGAGTCAGGCCAGCCTGGGCAACACAGTGAGACCCTATTTTAAAAAACAAAAACAATACCAGCAGCAACAAAAGAAAAACCCCTAAGGGATTCTTATAATTTTTACCCAAGCAGTATGAACTATAATATTTTTAATTGTAGGAGGAATATACCTTTTTTAAAAAAGTCAGTAAACCAGGCTCAGGATGTAGCTCAGTGGTAAAGTGCTTGCCTAACATGCACAAGGCCCTGAGTTCAATCCCCAGTACCGAAAAAAGGGGAAAAAAAGTCAATAAACCGAGATAACTATATCTTTATTTCAATGAGCAAGTGTTGTTGGAAGGTTAAATGAGTTAATATATGTAACAGTACTGCCAGGCGTCGTGCTGGGCGTCGTGCCGGGCATCATGCCGCACGCCTGTAAGCCCAGCACTCAGGAGGCTGAGGCAGGAAGATCATAGCGAGTTTGAGGCCAGTCTGTGCTATAAAATGAGCTCAAGGCCAGCCTGAACTACGTAGCAAGACCGTCTCAAAAAGACAAAGAAAAAAAAAAAGGACTTAGAGCAGTTTCTAGCACATAGTAAATACGGTATAAATTTTGGCCCCTTGATTATGATTAGGCAACTGCAGTGGTGACTCAGGTTTTCAGTTGCTTCAGTAACATTAGATGTAATCTGCTTGACACTCTGTTGTTCAAGTCAGTGAGCCTGCTCCTGTTTTCACACTTTCACCAAAGACTGTTTATAGTGATCTCCAGAGTTAAGTAGGCTAAGTGCAGCTGGCACACACCTGAAATCCCACCTTCTAAGAAGGCTGAGGTAGGAGCTTTGCGCCAAGTTTGAGGCCATCCTGGACAATAGTGAAGCCTTTCTGCAAGTAGAAAGGGCTGGGGGTATAATTCAATGTGAAATCCTGGATTTAACCCTCAGTACTATAGGAAAGGAAAGAAAAACGAGTCTAAGCCTCTAAATACTCAGGTATCGTTTTGTTACCTATTCAGATCAAGTCAGTAGCTTGTCAGAGTTACATTCCTCTGATGAATTGCTGCTTTTGGTCTTTGATGTCTTCTTCATATCCATTGTATTCAAGGGTGCAGTTTGAGTTTCCAGTCAGTTTGTTTTTTTCAGTGAAAGAAATTACACAACAGTGAATTAAGAGAAGGAGATGGCAAGGTTCTGTGATTCCAGTAGCTGTAGAGATGTGCTTCCTCAAAATAAGTCAGACTATTCAAGGGTTATCCTTTCTTTGAAGATAATCACAAATAGTCAAATAATGTAGGTTCAGTTTAAAGCAAGTAGCTTGTTTCCTACTTTTTCCTTCTCTCATCTTCCCCTCTCCTCCTTCCTTCTTTTCTTATTCAGTCTATCTCTCTCAATCCCCCCTCCTCCTGTTCTTTCTCAGTACTAGGGCTTGAATCCAGGACCGCATGCTTGCCACTGAGCTATCTTTAGCCTTTTTTTTTTTTTTTTTTTTTTGCCTTTTTGAGACAAGGTCTCACTATGCAGTTCAGGCTGACTGTGAGCTCACTTTGTAGCCCAGGCTGGTCTCGAACTCGCAACAATCCTCCTGCCTCAGCCTCCTGAGTTCTGGGATTACAGGCGTGAGCCACCATGCCTGGCTAGTTCTTTTCGTTTCTTACTATGTTATCCAAACTGACCTCAGACTCCTGGGTTTAAGTGATCTTCCTGCCTCAGCATCCCAAGTAGCTAGGACTACACATATACACTGCACTGGGCACATAATAGGATTTTTATTAACAGTACTTTACTGTTACTTTATATTTCTATATTTTTTGTTTTTAATATTATAACTGACATCACTGATTTGGTACTTAATATAGATATATTCAGCCCTTTCTCATCATGTCCAACTTTAAGAGTCAAAATGATGTGCTAGCATTTTAAGGACATTTTACACTTAATTCAATATTTCCCAAATTTATTTGACATCAGGCCCCTTTTTGTGGGGATATTTCACAGGATTAATGTTTCATAGAACACAATTTGGGAAATACTGCCTAATTAAAAAGTATAACTGATAACCATCTAGCAATGGCCAATACCTTTAATAATATTGACTGCTTTGTAGAATCTTTTTAAAAACCTTATATGTCTATACATGTGCTATTTAATGTAAGAAAATTAGAAAATACAGTGAACCACAGTACATTTTAATAATCGCTTTTCTCATTTTGGTCCTCTCTCATATTCCTGGAAGCTCCAGGAAGTGACACTGGTTCCGTTTTAGGTCTAAACCTTTTGTTTTATTTGGACAAGGTCTTACCATTTCTGGGCTGACCTTGAACGGGGACACCCTTCCGCTTCAGCCTCCCTAGTGCTGGAATTACAGGCGTGGTCCACCATGTCCAGTTTCTAGGATTAAATTTTAAGAAAGGCTGGCAACTTTTTTATGCTTTTCATAACCCTGAGCCCAAAATAAGGGGCAAGCCACATTGACGGAGAGGCCAGAGGAGAAAACCCTTGATCTTGTTTTCTTACCAGTTTTATCTCCCTACTAAATTGCATACTGGCAAATCATGGTTATCGGATGAAGGAGTGAGTACATGACAATGTGTAAGTGAATTACAGGGATGCTGCTTGACTTTTGTCCCATTGTGGCCTGCTAAGGTCATCCGTCTCCTATTGACATGATGTTACTACAGGTAGATGGAATGAAATAGCTTGTTTTGCTTGTGAAAATTTTTGATAGTGGTAATATTATTTGACCATATTTGGTAATTAAGATTTTTTTGTTTTTGAACCCAGGGCTTCATGCATGCTAAGCACAGTGGTGTACCACTGAGATATACCTCTTATCATACCAAATTAAGTTTTAAATTGAAAATTAAACTGAAATTATACTGGGGAAGAATTTTTTTTTCTGTTTTTACGATCTAAAAAATGCTTTAAAAAGGCTATTATAGTTGGGCATGGTGGGGCATGCCTAAAATCCCAGCTCATAGGAAGCTCAAACAGGAGGCTCGACACAAGTTGGAGGTCATCCTTGGCTACATAGCAAGTTCAAGGCCAGCCTGGACTACGTAGCGAGACCCTGTCTCAAATAAACAAACAAAAAAGGCTATTATATTTATCTCCTATACTGTCGTACTGTGGGAAAATTTAGACCTTTTGGTATCTTGGTTATGTTTTAAATTACACAAGTTTACCATAGTTTATATAGTATCTATATATTTATTTTTTTCAAACTTTTATGTTCAGTATATTAGCAGTGTCATTTTCATTTTAAATTTCTTGTATTCTTAATTTTATAGGTCCATTCAAAAACTTGGTGAATTAAATATGGGAATGGATACCCTTGGTAATGAGGTATCGGTGCTCAACCAGCAATGTAACGGAAGCAAAGGCAATGGATCTAATAATTCTTCTCTGACTAGTTTTGCTACACCACCCCAAGACACCAGTCAGAGGTTAACACATGATGCATCAAATATTCACACAAGCACTCCTACTAACCCTGGATCAACAAATCACATTCCTTTTCTTGAGTCACCTTCTAGAAGCCAAATGTAAGTGCTCAACCTTTTAAAACCTGAAAATGTTAGCTTCTTACTAAATAAATAGAAACAGAATTGAGCTTCTCTTTTGGTCATTATAAAGAAAAGTATTTAGAGCTCACTACCTCCCAATGCTTTTTCTAAACTTCCTTCGTTTATCTATATTTTATTCTACCAACTTGTGAGTCTTATTATAGTCATATTTTCCTTTTTTCTTTCTGCTTCCTTACCACCACCAAAGCAATTCTTTAAGCAATTTTATAAGCCAGACATCCTGAATTTTTAGAGTTTACCTTCTTGAATTTTTTTTTTTTTCTTGCCACTGGCATCTTTCAACAATCTTAAAACTCACAGACTTTCAGGGCACTGGACTATGTTTTATAACGTGGTAGAGTGATAGCAGGAGAGTAATACTGGCAGCTCTGACAGTTCCAACAATTGAAGACTTCGCATGTTTTCACTAGCTAGAAAATTTTTATCTTGCTATCATTAGTAATTTATGCAATGTAAAAAGTTAAGGAGCATTTTCTTCTATTGTTAACATAAAGCTCTTTTCACAGTGGTTTATTTAAAAAATATATAACTGGCTTTTAGCACTTGGATGTTCATAGGAATTAGCCTTTAAATTAATATCAAACTACTTTTACTTCAGAACATAATGTTTCTTTAATATTGTCTTCATTATAGTTTACATAATACTTTTTTTTTTAATTGTCTTTCTGAAATGAGGTCTCACTATGCAGTTCAGGCTGGGCTTGAACTCACTTTGTAGAACAGGCTGGCCTCAAACTCAAAGGCGATCCTACTGCCTCAGCCCCAGCTACTGAGATTACAGGTGTGTGCCACCACACCTGGCCATATAATACTTGTGATTACTCCCAGACTAGAATTCAATTTTTTTTTTTTTTGAGACAGGGTCTCACTGTATACTTCAGTCTGCCCCTGAACTCACTAAGTATCCCAAGGTGACCTTGAACTTAAGGCAGTCCTCCTGCCTCAGCCTCCCAGGTGCTCGGATTACAGGCATGGGCCACCAAGTCTGGCTAGAATTTAAATTTTAAATATACAATGTAATATACATACATGATTTTAAAAGACAAATAGTACTTACAAGACAATCACCTACCCAACTTTGTCCATTTTTAAAATTTCCTATGAGATATTCTCAGCCCATTTGTGTATGTTTCTTTGGCTGTATATTTTTACATTTCTGAATAACATGCTTCTATTGCCACTTCTATTATCCTGTGACTGACTCCCTGTCATCTCTTTACCTGCATTATACTTCATTTACCTGTTTTTGCATGTGTATGCATATTTTTTTGTTTAAGTCAGTATTCAGCGATAATGTTACTGTGGCCTTGTGACTATTTACAACTAGGGCATACAGTGTAATATGACTGTATTTCCTTCTCATACAATTTCTTATTATATCAAGTTGCCCTAATTTGGTATGCACACATGCTTCATTTTCTTAGTATCTATTTCTAAACTCTGCAAATACTTTGACAAAAGTATAAAATCATAAAACTTCTCATTGTAGTAAAAAAAAAATCCAGTAATTTCTTCATTTCATTTTTTTCCTCTTGGGAGAAATCTCTCCAGGATCACTCTTGCTTCACTTTATATTCATTGCTTCTAGGCCATTTCATACAGGCCTGGAGAATCCTGGAACTTTCCTCACCATCTTTTTCTGGGATTTTGTTTTGTTTCTTCTCTGTGTTGGAGCCTGTTTTTAGGATCTCATGTAGTTTACTGAAAAGGGATATATCAGAGGTAAAGTCTGAGACCTTGCTGTCTGAAAATGTGTTCATTGTATTTCACACTTGATTTGTTAGTACAGAATCGTAGAATCCAAATTGTCCCTCAGTATTTGAAAAGGCAGGATCTCACAGTCTCAGTGTTTTTGTTTTGGTTTTTTTGTGGTAGTGAGATCAAACCCAGGATTTCACACACACTCGGTAAGTGGTCTACCACTGAGCCACATCCCTACTAACTCCCTTTTTGGAGACATGGTCTCACTAAATTGCTCAGGCTTCAGTGTTTTCTTTAAGTGGTCTGATGCTATTTTAATTCTTAATCCTTTGAGGCCTGTTGCTTTTTCTGTTCTGGAATTTTTCAAGTCCTTTTTCCTGATGTTTATATGAAATATATCATGAGAAAGTAATCTATTTTCTTTCTTTCTACTGAATACTTCATAGACTTTTTAAAGGTGGAAATGTAAGTTTTGAGGAATTGAAAGTATTATTTAGCTATTTCCTCATCTTCATTTTCAGTTGATTTTTTTTCTGCCATCATATTTAATTTTCATTTTCTAAGAACTCTTATTCTCTAGGTTTTTTTTTTTTAGATTTTCTTTTTAAAAATAGTTTATGCTCTTATTTCCAGGATTCATTTTTTCCTCATGTCTGTAAGGATAATTATATTTTTGTAGCTTTATTTCCTGAATTGCTTTTCTTCTGACTTTTTTTTGTTTGTTGGTTTTTTAGTTTTAATCTGTAGCTTTTATTTAGGAGGTTTTCCTCCAGTGTCTGGAAATTTTAGTCTGTCTAAATGAGTAAGACATTAAAAAAAGAGAGAAGCTGGGTGTGGTGGTGCACACCTATAATCTTAGCACTCAGGAGGTTGAGGCGGGAGGATCACCTTGAGTCCAGGTCCAGCCTTGACTACATAGTTTAAGATTGGTCTGAACTATATGAACTTACTAGAAGAAAGATCGACACATAGGTGGATCTGTCTCCTTTTGGCCTCACAAAAGTCAAGATGATTGAGTGGAAATACTGTTTTGCTAAGAAATCTTCAGCTGTCAGTTTGCTAGTTTTTCTCTTGGGTCAGATAATTTTCCTCAATAGCAATCTCCAGGGTCCAGCTTGCAGTAGCTAACAGTTAAGCACTGCATATGGGATGCTGGAGCCAAGCAAAAGAGGAGCATTTGACTTCTCACTGTAAAATGTGTGGATTTAATCTTCTTTCCAGAATGGCTTTTCACTTCCTCCTTACAACTGTCCGTGGTATCACTGAATCTAGGACCTCTTAAGTGTTTCCAAAAAGTAGCTTTGAATGGAGTCAGCGAGAATCCTTTGCTAAAAGGAAAACTGAAGATTGAAGGAGCCAGGTGTGGTGGCACACATCTGTAATCCCAGCCCTTGGGAGGCTGACACTGCGAGTTTGAGGCCAGCCTGGGCTCCATAGTGAGACACTGTCTTTTAAAAAAAAAATTGAAGGGTTACATTAATTTAGTTTCATCTTGCTATTCATACTAAACTTTATTTGAATTTCTGTTCCTGCAGCTCTGTAGAACATTCAGTCCCTAAGCCATCTCTTGGAGATTCTTCAGGGAGTCTTTCACGGTCAAGGGGGGAAGAGGTAATACTTGGCGAAACAGTGTCTACTGTTTAAATGTACACTTGTAAATGTTGTCCAGGAATTCTCAATTCATAAACCATTTTTAGGGAAGGTCATTATTTTTGTTTTTGGGTTTTTTTTTTCCCCCCCCCAATACCGGGAATCGAACTCAGGACCTTGTGCTTGCCAGGCAGGCACTGTACCGCTGAGCTAAATCCCCAGCCCCAAGGTCATTATTTTTGATATTGGTATTTACCTCAGAGTAGAGCTCTCACTGGACTAAATGCTTTAGGAAGTGCTTCAGATTCATGGCCCAGCACTGAGTGGCCACCTTAACTGGGGTTCTGTACTGTTTTCTGCACTTTGAGGTTTCTTCAGGTATCTATGTTGGGCTTCTCATCAGTATATCTGTGCTTTGCTTTGGAACTAGATATCTTTTCCTGGTATCTTATTTTTTCTAAATTTAACCCCATAAACAAAGTTTTTTTTTTTTTTTCTAGATGCTTATAGTGATCAAATGGGTAACATAAATGAAGTCAGTCATTTTCATAAGTGCATAAGAATATTTGTCCCTTGCACAAAGAAATGTGTAACCCCAGTGTTTGTAGTCTTTTGATTTTAAGAAAAGCTAGTGAGATTTCCATGTGAAATTTCCTATTTTATAAATGGCTACATGGGGCCAGGGATATAGTTCAACAGCACAAGTGCCTGCTTGGCAAGCCCAAGGTCCTAAGTTCGATTCCTGGTACCAAAAAAATAAAATAAACGGTTACAAATTTTTTTTTTTTTTTTTTTTGGTTTTTCTCTGGTACCGGGAACCGAACTCACGACTTTGCGCTTGCCAGGCAGGCACTTTTAGCCACTGAGCTAAATCCCCAGCCCCCTGAATTTTTAAAAATTTGTAACACTTGAGAATGGCAAATAAAATCAATTTGTGTGGCTTTTGCTGTACAGAAACCTTTCGTAATTATTAATGTGCTGTAGGCCATACAGTCACTTCTCTGCCTTGCTCTTATCTTCTCCGTGCTGTTCACGTCTTTCTATATGGATTGGTAGAAAATGTAGGATTTCTAGCCAAATAAATGTGTATGAATACCAGACTTCAGTTACAGAAGAAAAACAGCCTGACAGCAGTTTTGCCCTCCACTCTCCCAGTGAGGATGTATTGCATGGATACATAAACACTGAGGTAGAGCCAGGCATGGTGCTGCGTGCCTGTATTCTCAGCACTTTAGCAGCCTAGGACAGAAGGATCACACACTTGAGGGCAGCTTGATTTACTTAGACCTTCTCAGAATAAAAAAGGGCTGGGGATGTAGCTCAGTGCAGAGGCCGTAGGTTCAATCCCCAGGACCACAAAACAGAACAACAGTAAGAAAACACAGATGCTGGGCCGGGGTGTAGCTCAGGGGCACAGGCGCCTGCCGGGCAAGCGAAAGGTCCTGAGTTCAATTCCTGGTACCAAAAAAAAAAAAACAATAAAACACAAATGCTACAAGCTGTGTAATGAGAGACATAGTCTTTTCATTGATACAGTTATTATGGTCCTATCCTCTTGGGATACAACCAGAACGGAAGTGGTTTTCCTTTGTGTGTGCACTTGACATTTATACTTCCCGCAGACAGGATTTGGTTGAGGGTGTTAACCACAGCCCGTCGGGAATTTGCTATTCCAGGTCCAGTCAGTCATGGTCAAGATCGCAGTATTCTTTCCAGTGACACCCATAGCAGGAGTTGCCCAAGTTTTCATACAGAACTGTTTCAGCTTGCCTGTTCAGAAGAGAGCTGTGAACAGATGGTTCAAAATAAACACGAAACTCAAAATGGTCTGACTAAAACCACTTTGATAGTTTTAGAGGAGCATTGTATAATTTCAGTTTGAAATATGAAAGTATTCACTGCTGGAGATAACAGTAAACTTCCTTTTTTAACCTTAAGTGGTTGACTAGTCCTTTCTTCTTTTCTTTTTTCCTTTCTCTTTCCCTTCCTTCTTTCTTTCTTTCCTTTCTTTTCTTTATTTAATGCAGAAGTCCCACATTGTTGCTCAGAGTGGTGTCAGATATCTTCCTGCCTCAGCCTACAGCTTCATAGCTCAGCCTCATTCTCTTCTAAATATAAATGATGCTCTGTTGTTTTTGTTAGAACATTTATATGGGAACTGTTTTTTCCCCTTAAAGGGAATTTAATAAGGGAATGCATGTTTAATCTTACATTTTGTTTTAATTAAGAAAAACTTGAATATTTATAAACTCTCTGATTTTGGTTTAGCAGTGATTAACAAGACACAGAAACATTAGGGTTAGTTTAGATTTGTTACCTAAAATATTACAGGTAATGGGGCCAGGGATATAGCTCAGGGACACAAGCACCTGCCCAGCAAGCACAAAGTCCTGAGTTCAAGTCCCCATACCAAAAAAACCACTAAAATATATTATAGGTAATAAACGCAACATGATCAAACAGGAATAATACAGTTAAAATGAATTTAAAATGGGATAAAAATGAATGCTTTTAAATTCCTTTTTTTCATAGAATGACTTTTATATTCATTCTTCCCATAGGATGACAAATCAAAAAAGCAGTTTGTTTGTATTAATACCCTGGAAGACACACAAGCTGTTAGAGCAGTGGCTTTTCATCCAGGTGGTAGTTTATATGCTGTTGGTTCAAATTCAAAAACTCTGCGAGTGTGTGCCTATCCAGAAGTAATTGATCCAAGGTAAGAGTAGACGGTTTGTATTGCCATTCTTGCCTTAGTTTTAGAATTGGCCTTTTTTGGAATTGCCATTTAGTTGTATTTCAGTTCTTCCTTCCTTTAAGCTTTATTTTTTATTTGCAATGCTTAGGAAATATACTTAAGTCATCAATTTTATGATTTTTACCCATAAAATTTTTAAATTAAAGATTTAGTACTTAAGTATTCCTTATTTCTATGACTTTATATTTTGTTTTTCAAATCTCATATTCCAGTTCAGTTGTCTAAGATAAAAACAAAGTTTTTATCTATGCTTACAAAACATGATTATAAAACATTTCTAATAATAGCTTCGGAGGACTATATGAAACTGGTGATATTTGACCATTTCAGACCTACAAAAATTAAAATTTCATTTGATTAACATAGCTGATTTAGGGGCTGGGGATTTAGCTCAGCGGCAAAGCGCCTGCCTGGCAAGCGCAAGGTCGTGAGTTCGGTTCCTGGTACCAGAGAAAAACCAAGAAAAACCAAAAAAAAAAAAAAAACAACATAGCTGATTTAACTTCCTTGTTTTAACAGGTTATGAGATTGGGAAATGAGGCATACATCTTTAAAGACATACCATTAAAAATAAGCTGAGCATGGTGGTGCACGCCTGTAATCCCAGAGTTTGGGAGGTTGACGCAGGACTAGCACAAGTTCCAGGCCAGTCTGGATTACACAGACCACATAAAAAGACATGTTTATTATTACTAATAACTCAGTGGTAGAATGCTTGCCTAGCATGCACAGCAAAAAAAATTGTTTATTTATTTATTTACAATAAAAGGCTAAGGATGTAGCTTAGTGATAGAGCAGTTGCCTAGCATGCACAAGGCCCTGAGGGAGGGGAAGAAAAAAGATCCATGTGCTATTTGGTAGCTTTTGTGATGAGTGAAGTGAATGGCACAAAAGGAATAGTTTTCAGACCAGTAGACAACACACAAAAAAGCTATAAACTTGAAGAGTTTTAGCCGGGCGTGGTGGTGCACGCCTATAATCCCAGCACTTGGGAGGCTGAGGCAGGAGGATTGTCACCAGTTCGAGACCAGCCTGAGCCACAAAGTGAGCTCGAGACCAGCCTGAGCCACAGAGTGAGCTCAAGACCAGCCTGAACTGCATAGCGAGACCCTGCCTCAAAAAGACAAAATAAAGAAGAGTTATAAAAAGTGCCACATGTCACAGTACATTTTGGCCTTTTTAAAAAATAACTACTCTTAAGACATTACCTAGTTTAGGGAACAGACAAATAGAATTTTTCATCTATTTGCACTTTTTTTTTTTTTTTTTAGCTGTCTCTATGTCTGAAACCAGTAATTTTGACTTTTAGACTAAGGTTAGACTAAGCTAGTATTTAAAGATTGGAAAAGGAATAATAGGGCCTGTTAGGTCATAATGTTATTAGTGCTCATTGTGTATTAAGTAGAAATACATGGGAGAGAAAAGGCAGAATTTTAGATCAGAGAGTGGAAAATAGCAGTAATAATAAAGACAGAGGCAAAACTTATATGTGTAGCATTAACCTGACTTTTAAGTTAGCCATTTCTCAACCTTTTACTTCTTTTGCTGGTACAGGTTAATGCTACACATACAAGTGGAAAAACTGACTTTTATAAAGATGCATTTATTTGGCAAGTATTTGGAGAACTCCATTGTGCTAGGTTTTAGGGTTAGTTGTACACAAACGTGTTTATTGACTTCATAGAATTTCTGGTTTAGTGGGGAAAATGCAGGTTATGCCAGTAATAAATATGTTCTGTAAATTAGGGATGGGTTCCCCAGGGTACAAACTGGAAATCAGAGAAAGGGCTCTTTGACAAAAAGGCATCAGTAAAGCTGAGAGATGAGGAAGAGTAGAACCTACCCAGGCAGAGAGGAGGGAAAAGAGAATAATAGAGAACATGAACATGAGATGAGAAGGAGCTAGGCATTTGTGTGTGTGTGTGTGTGTGTGTGTGTGTGTGTGTGTGTGTGTGTGTATGTTTTCTTGGAGTTTGAATCCAGGGCCTTTGCTTTGAGCTACATTTCCGACCCCTCAGGTCTGGTGATATAGTTCAGTGGCTCAATGCCTTCCTGGCAAGTGCAGGATCCTGAGTTTGATTCCCAGTACAGAAAAAAAAAACTAACAAAATCCAACCCCTCTTTCCCTCTTTCCCTGGAGCTACATCCCCAGCCTTTTAAAAAATTTTTTTGAGAAATTTAAACTTTATTATTTTGCTAAGTGGCCCAGAATGGGCTTGGATTTGTGACCCTCCTGTCTTAGCCTCCCTGAGTGCTGCAATTACAGGCATGTGCCACCACACCTAGCTAAAAGTTTGGCTTTTTGAGAAACTGAAAACATTAGATTGGTTGGAATATGGTGAATTGGAGTGTGATAAGGCCATAGAGATCCACAGGGACTGGAGAGCTTTTCTGGCAGTCTTGGATTTTAGGCTGAAGGTAGTGGGAAGCTGCCAAAAGTGCAGAGTGGGTGGTGTGACCCCTAAGTATATTTTGAGAAGATCACTCTGGCTGTAGATGGATGGCAATAAAAGCAAATGCTGGGAAAAAGGTAGGAGGGTGTTTCGGTTGATGGCTGGTATGATGGTACTGGAAATAGAACAGAATGGATTGTAAAATAAAAGGTAAGTAAGACTTGGTGAATTGGCTGTACAGCTGAAAAAAGAAACTTTATCTGATCTGTTCTCTAGATCAATACTAAACACTTTGCAGGTATTGAAGATTTATCAATGTTTTTTGTAATTTTGGAAATTTTTCTTAATTATGAAAATTTGTAAATAAATACCCAGAAGTAGAGACAAGTATACCAAAAAGCAGTAGTTGTCAAGATTGTCACAGTTGCTTCATTCATCTTTTTAAAGTATTTTAAAGTAAGTCCTAGGTACTGTGTACATTTTCTAACAGAAATGATTGTTTTATTCTTACTATTTTTATTTTTTTGGTACCGGGAATTGAGCTCATGACCTCATGCTTGCCAGGCAGGCGCTTGTGCCACTGAGCTATATCCCCAGCCCGAATGTTTTATTCTTACACCTCATTTTAAAATCTTCAGTATATAATAATAGTGTTTTACAGATAAGATGCTGTTCCTCCACTCAGCCAATGTTTGACTGTCCTTGAAGGCCAAACTGTTGAGCAACATGGCACTTGGGTGCCTATCGTGCTTGTTTCAGCAGCACATGAGCCTCTGGCACTGCACCCATCACCTCTGTCCTCCACCTCCTGAGTACCTCCAGCTGCACTCCGTGCCATGCTGCGTGCTAAAGCAGCACTTTACCTACTATGTCTTGTTTTCACTAAAGTGGCTCACCTTTCTTCATCTTTTTTTTGGTAAAAATTTGTCCTATCCTTGTCCAGAACTACACTGTACTGTAACAGTCTTACAGTATATGCGTGATCATGATAACGTCTATCTCTGCTAGACTTTAAACTCTAGAAAGAGATCTTGCATTCATTTATTCGTTCATTCATTCCTCATTTGTGGTACTGGAGGTTGAATCCAGGGCATTTACACTGAGCTGTATCCAAGGCTTTTTATTTTGAGGTAAGATCTTGCCAAATTGTCCAGGGTGAGCCTGAACTTACATTTCTACTTTAGCCTCCCAGCATGCTGGGATTACAGGCATGCATCACCAGGCCCAGCTGCTCATACTAATTGTTTAGTAAATGTTTATTGAATTTTTCTAATTTGGAAGCTTTTATTATCTTTCCTTTTTTATTTGAGTAAAAATGCACAAGAAAAATACGAGAATTGGAGATTTTTAAGTTACTTACCATGTTCCCTACATGATCTGAAGTAAGAGATTAGTGTGATACTGGCTTATAATTTTACTGTTTAGATTTTAAACATTCTTTACACTTATTTTGTTTTATGATTTAAAAAGCTGTAAAGAACCTGTTGTCTGGTATTCTTTTTGCTCCCTCCTTCAAGAGCAGTCATTGTATAAAATGTTACATTAACTAATTTTGGCAGACAAGAAATTGAAATATCCTTATGTAATTTTTCTTTTCAGTGCACATGATACTCCCAAGCAGCCAGTGGTACGTTTTAAGAGGAATAAACATCATAAAGGATCCATTTACTGTGTGGCCTGGAGTCCTTGTGGACAGTTATTAGCAACAGGATCAAATGACAAATATGTCAAAGTGCTACCCTTCAATGCAGAGACTTGTAATGCAACAGGTAGGGCCCAGGTACTGTATATAAGCAGTTGCTAGCCTGGCAGTGTATGCAGTATACTCTCCCCATATTGTATCTCTCCATTGTCTTCAATGAAGTCTAAAAATATAATCTTAATCTTCTTTTAAAATTTTGATTTCTTTTTTTTTGTCTTTTTGAGACAGGGTCTTGCTATGAAGTTCAGGCTGGCCTTGAGCTCACTTTGTAGCCCAGGCTGGCCTCGAACTTGCAACGATCCTCCTGCCTCAGCCTCCTGAGTGCTGGGATTACAGGCATGTGCCACTGCGCCTGGCTTAAAATTTTGATTTTTTAGTTACAAAAATTTTGATTTTTTAGTTACTCTTTTTTTTTTTTTTTTTTTTAGTAAATGCCTATAGGTAGCCAAATGGTATGGTATCTGAAGTTTAGAATTTTTTTTTTTTTTTTTTTTTGTCTTTTTTGAGACAGGGTCTCACTATGCAGTTCAGGCTGGACTTGAACTCACTTATGTGGCCCAGGCTGACCTCAATCTCACAATGATCCTCCTACCTCATCTTCCCAAGTGCTGGGATTACAGGCATGCGCCACCACGCCCAGCTTAGAAAATTATTATCTGAAAAATAACCTTTAGTGATTGAGAATATACCTCTAAAGTAGAGGATAGAGTTTTTACTAAGCTTTCTCAAAGCCCTGGATTCAATCCCCAGCAGCGCAAAAAATAAAAACACAACAACAGCAAAACCCTTATATAATAACTACAAGGATTATATTAATGGAGTATTTTCTAGAGAATATCTGTCTTCTATTTATTTTTCTTTCTTTTTTTTGTCGGGGGGTGTTTCTTGGAGTCAAACCCAGGACCTTGCGCTTGCCGGGCAGGTACTCTGCCACTGAGCTATGTCCCCACCCATTTCTTTTTCTTTGAAATAAAAGATAAAAACATATAGCTCTATTTTAGGGATTATAATAACTGAATTTGTATTTTGATTTCCTTAAGTTCTGTGCCCTAAGTGAAGTTGATTATAATATTAATCTCCAAGTGAAAATATAAACCATTTTATTATACTATTACTCTTGGCCAATTTTGAAGCAGTTAAGCAGTCTCGGGTTATCATAGTAAGTTGAGCAGCATTCTTCGTTTTTTGTTTTTTGGTGGTTTTTTTTTAGCATTCTTTGTTTTTTCAATTCTTATTGCTGTTTCAGGACCCGATCTGGAGTTCAGTATGCATGATGGGACAATTAGAGACTTAGCATTTATGGAAGGTCCGGAAAGTGGTGGAGCTATTTTAATAAGTGCTGGAGCCGGGGATTGTAACATTTATACAACAGATTGTCAAAGGGGACAGGGTCTCCATGCTTTGAGTGGACATACTGGTATGTAAATCAGTCTCAAGTGGTATTTGCTTATTGTTTAGTTTGTGCCTTTCCCCTTCCCCTTTGTTTTGATAAATGGACTTATTTCTTCAAAGTGGATCATTTCTTTTTTTTTTTTTGAATAAACAAGTTTTATTTATAAATTTAGTCAACATACATAATTGACCTAAAAACTTCAATATGATGAATTAAAAAACCCCTTGGAAGGCCGGCTCTATAAAAGGGATTTTCCCAGGACAGTAACCAGATGTGACCTAACCCAACACCATCTTAATTGGCAGAGATCCAATAGGCTGGAGCAGTATGCTCCTCCCCCAAAGCAAGTTCACACTAACTCCACAAGGGAAAAAAAAACGAAACAACAAAAACGAAACCTTGGTATTGTTTCCGCTCAGTAGATCAGAAAAAACCTAATTATGAGACCAACCACAACACAATGAAAAGCTGCACTAACTAGAATATTAGTAACAGATGATGCTGGTGTGAATAACTTGTTATTCTAGAGCCCTTATAAACAAAATCCCCCAGTTAGTGTTTGCAGTATCAGCTAGAGGGTTAGTTAATGTGGTAGAATGAGGACTTATGCAAAGTATACACATAGCATTTCACTACTATATAGAAAATAAGTGCAGTCTAGTTAGGAGAAAAACCAACTGGACTCTATTACACACACCTTAATGACAAGACTTCCCACCACTTGTGAATGTAAAACATTTAATTTAAAAATGTTGACACTACAATATATAAAATAGCTATTATAAATGCACATAGTATATTCTATAGCTGCCAGGTTTACTTTTTTTTTTTTTTTTTTTAAGGAAACTGTAAGTTACACTGTGGTTAAGACTTGTATCTTCACCCTTGAAAAAGCCCACATTCTGTCACAGTGATGTATGGTGAGACTTAACAGCCCCAATTGTTAAACACTTGGATCAAGTCATAACCAGTTTTATTGCAAAAGGACCCTGTACACATTTATCAATTCTAGTACCTTAATAGCTACCCAACAAGTCATTAACATACAGAAACATGCATCATGAGAAGCAAGAAATATCACCCATCCCTTCTGCATATTAGCAACTTGTCACTCCTGAGCAACAGTGCTCACATCACTGAGGTCTGTGAACAGTCACTTTTCGCATTCATCCTGAGTGAAAGATGGAATGACTTAAGTACAAATGCAACATATTATAAACAATTTCTTACAAAAAAAGTCACAAATTAAACCAAAGTATTTTACAGAATTTACTACAAAACGCCATAAAAATTGCCTTCACTTAAGCTCTCTCTCCCCGTATCCGGCGGGCCAACTGGATGTCTTTGGGCATGATGGTGACTCTCTTAGCGTGGATGGCACACAGATTAGTATCTTCAAATAAGCCCACCAGGTATGCTTCACTCGCCTCCTGAAGAGCACCAGTGGCTGCACTCTGAAACCTTAAGTCGGTCTTGAAATCCTGGGCAATCTCTCTCACCAACCTCTGGAAAGGCAGCTTGCGAATGAGAAGCTTGGTTGACTTCTGGTAACGACGAATCTCTCGAAGCGCCACGGTACCAGGCCTGTAGCGATGAGGTTTCTTCACCCCGCCGGTAGAGGGAGCGCTTTTCCTGGCAGCTTTAGTGGCCAGCTGTTTTCGGGGGCCTTTCCCACCAGTGGACTTACGAGCAGTCTTCTTGGTTCGGGCCATTTTCTTTCACCCAACGCTGAAGTCTTAGGTCCCTTTTCCGACTGCCGCACCGGCGCTCTGTCAACAGCTGCAGTTGCCTACAACAGAATCAACACCCTCTCAACGAACGACCAAACCGCTCTGCCAAAGTGGATCATTTCAAGAAAAGAAATTTTTATTTCAGAAATTTAAATTGTGGGCTTTGGATAACAACACAGTAGTGATAACTATCATTGGTATTTCTCTCTGTGTTCAAATCTTTTATGTGTATATATGACTTTAATCTTCAGAACCATGTGATGTAGGAAGTTTTACCCCTATTTTAACACATGAAGAAAGTATGGCTGAATGTCATAAAGTTAGTAAATAGCAGCACTAAAACATGCTTCCGGGCCTATCTCTTCCAAAGCTTGTAATCAAACTCCACGAAATAATTTTTCCTGTATTTCCTCCATGGAAAAGTTACCACAATTTCAAATGATAATTTTTTTCAGTATTAATTTTGTTTTCCTGACATACAGAAAAAGCCTGTTGTATTAATGGAGTCACCAAAGAAAGATTTCTTTGTTCAAGTGTAACTTTTTTTTCATTTTTGTTTTTTTAAAAATTTGTATTTGAATATAGTTTCAATGTAGTGCATTTTGCTGAATTTTAATTGTTAATCTATTTGGTAGTTATAGAAAATCTCTAACGATAGTGTATTTGATCGATCAAATAGTCTTTTTCCCAGTGATGACGAGTACTTAGCTTTGGACATGTTGTGGAAAGATACTTTTCCCACAGCAGTAATTGAGTATGTGATCATTTGTAGGGCATATTTTAGCACTTTACACCTGGAGTGGTTGGATGATTGCATCTGGTTCTCAAGATAAGACTGTTAGATTCTGGGATCTTCGAGTACCAAGCTGTGTTCGTGTTGTTGGCACAACATTCCATGGAACTGGTAGGTTTTCCATTATTTTAAATAAATTTATGTAAAAAAGAAACTTAAAAAATTACACTAGCCTACTTCTTCCTCCTGTAATGTAGTGTATGAGCTGCCCAAAAAAAGTACTGTCCTGCAATATGAAGAAAATAGAAATAGTGAAATAAATACTTGGTATTTTGTTGATTACTTTCAATTCTTTCAAAAGACTTTCATCTGTTACCTTATTAGGAAACCAAGGGCCAAGGAGATTAAAATACCATGTCCCCAAGCCTACTAATAGGACAACTTAAAACTCAACACTTTAAAAATATTTTTTTAAATGATGCACATGACCGGGTGCAGTGGTGCACACCTGTAATCCCAGCACTCAGGAGGCTGAGGCAGGAGGATTGTTGCTAGTTCGAGATGAGCCTGGGCTACAAAGTGAGCTCAAAGCCAGCCTGAACTGCATAGCGAGACCCTGTCTCAAAAAGATAAAAAAAAAAATACAAAACAAAAAAACCAAACAACTGCATGATGCACATGGCAAAAATTGAAAATGAACAGAAGAGTATACTATTTTTTTTGCTCCTATTCCTTGATCTCTTTCTCTAAAGGACCAGTTTCTTATTTATTCTTCTAGAAATATTCTGTAGATACAGAACCAGAAAGTTTATATGTCTTATAATCTCCCTTCTGTAAACGCACATGCATATGCACACACACACAGATGGTAGCATGAAATACAAATTGTGCTTTTTAATCTTAACAGTTATCTTGGGTTGTTTCATGTAAATGCAGGCTGCTGTTCTTTTCGTTATATCACCTTTTAAAGCACATCATATCTAAGAGTGATACGGTATTCTGCCATTGTGTTTATTGTATTGTAGAGTGCCTTTTCTGCCTTTGTAGTTTTCAATAGCCTGTTTTATATTTTCAATGGGTGTTTTTGATGCCTTGTGTATTTTTTTTGACTTTTAAGAACCTTTTTCTATACTTACATTCAAATGAGATATGATTTGCTACAGCAGATGTGAGTCTGGAATAAAAATGTAGATGTATGGTTATTATTTGTATATATGAATATGTGATCCTTGATTTGTTAGTGTAGTTTGTATGGTTAGCAGAATAGATATATAACATAGTTTCAAGAGCCAAACAGCTCAGTAGGACTTGTTGAGAAAAACAGCATTGGACTGGGGGTGTGGCCAAGTGATGCAGTACTTCCCTAGCGTGTGCCAGGCCCTGGGCTCAGTCAGCACTGCAAAAAAGAGCGAAGAGAAAAGAAGAAAAGAAAGAAAAACCGCAGTGCACTCGGAATTAACTCCTACCCTTCACCTCTGTATTTCATTTTCTGTTTCTCAGTGACAATCATTTTTAATCTTTATAGCACTTTATTATTTGGTATTTATATTATTTCCATATTTCTAAATAGCAGAATTATAATCATAAGCTTTTAGGATAGTTTATTGACTTCTCACCATAAAGGATGAAGATGTTATGTCCCTTTCCAACACTCCTCGTCTCTTTCTTGCATTCATTTTTTCCTTCTACATCTTTTCATTATAGTTCTATCCATTTTGGGTAAGTCATTATTTATTGTGTATATATTTTAACTAGATAAATGCTATACACTAATTTTTTGCACATATTTTATTTTCCTTGGTGTTAGTAATTATATTTTTGCTGCATTTGCTTAGTTTCTGTAAACTTGCTACTAATTTATCTCCTAGTTAGTCCATTGTCTAGATTATTTTCAAGCCCTTTTTTCTGCATTTCAGACTTTTTCTTTCTCTCCCTTCTCTCACAACATTAATGTCTTCTTTACTGGATCTCTCTTCTTTACTTTTATACTATCTATCTATCTATATATAAATAAAGTTTTATAAAATTAGCCATGCCCAAAGTTTCTCTCATAATGTTCTCATACCCCCCCTCCCAGCTCTCACCCTAACTTTTGCTTCCTTTCTTCCATGATTATCTCAGAAGTTTTGCCTATATCTACTATTACCCATTGCTTTACCCTCTTACTTAGGCTTTTAGTTATTAATTAATTAATTTTTATAGAACTTGGGAATGAACCCAGAGCCTTTGCAGTGAACCATATTTGTAGACATTTTTATTTTTCATTTTGAGACAAGAGCTTGCTAAGTCACTTAGTTGCCCAGATTGGGCTCAAACCTGCTGTCTGCTCTCCTGTAATGCAAGGATGATAGGCATGTGCCATGTCTAGCTCTTACCCTTATTCTTCAGCCTTCTCTAAGTTGCTTCTTGCCACAACCATTCTGACAAATGCTACCTTTTTCAAGATCACCAGCAAACTTCATCTTGTCAAATCATTATATCATCATTTTCTTTCCACCGTCAGAGGCATAGAACACAGTTGACCTTTCTACTTTTCTATTGTGCTTTCCATTCTGTTTTTTGGATAACTACTGGCTCATCCTTCTCTGCTCAACCTCTAACCTTTGATGTTCCCTCTGGTTCTAGGTTTTAGTCTTCATTTTTTCATTAGGTGGTTGGATCCATGGCCTGGCTTTAAAAATAACTTGTATGCTCAAAAACCTTAAATTTTAATATCTAGTCCAAACCTTTTAATTCTTGCTCTACTTAACGTCTTCTTTTGGTTTTGGTTTTGGTTTTTTTTTTGTTTTTTTTTTTTGCCTTTTTGAGACAGGTCTCACTATGCAGTTCAGGCTGGCCTTGAGCTCACTTTGTGGCCTAGGCTGGTCTTGAACTCGCAGCGATCCTCCTGCCTCAGCCTCCCAAGTGCTGGGATTACAATCGTGTGCCACCATGCCTGGCTTCTTTTGGTATTTTATGAGATATTCATACTTAAACCACAGTATTAATTTATGACTTCTCTTCCAAACAAAACTGCCCCAAGAGATACCACCCACAAATTTTTTTGGAGTCTTCCTGATTCCTTCTTTCTCTTTATCTCTCTAATATCCCATCCATAATCAAATCCTGTTGTTTCAGCCTCAAAAAATCTATCTAAAATTGTGTTATTCAGCTTTCCATCACTACAACGAATACCTGAGATAAAGCAACTTCTAAAAAGAAAAGGTTAGCCATGTGTGGTGGCACATGCCTGCAAGCCCAACACTCAGGAGGATTACAAGATCGAGTCTGGTCTGGGCAATTTAGCAATTTTAGCAAGACTCTGTCTCAAAATTTTAAAATAGTACTGGACATATAGCTCAGTGCACAGGCCTTAGGTTCAGTCTCTAGTATCACAGGGGCAGGGTGTTTATTTTGGCTTATAGTTTTAGAAGTCCTTGAACATGTGGATATGCAATACATCACATTGGAAGCAAATGGTGAAGCAAAATCTCCACCTCCTGGCCAGGGAGCAAAAGGAGAGGGAAGGGCCTGGGGTTTCACTGTTCTTCAAGGGCACCCCCAGTGACCTGCATACTTCCTACCGGACCCTGCCTCTTTTTTTGCATCCCAAGGGTTGAAACCGGGGTGGTGTACCATTGTACTACATTCCCCAGCCTTTTTTATTTTTAATTTTGAAACAGGGTTTCCCTGAGATGCCCAGGTAGAACTTAGACTTTCAGTTCTCCTGATTCAGCCTCTCTCAGTGTTGGGATACAGAGGACGCCTTACGTCTGGTTGGGGCCCACCTCTTTTTTTGCAGGGGAGGCACCTCTTAAAGGTTCCTCCCCGTCTCGATAGCACCAAGGGCTAGGAGCAAGCCTGTAACACATGGATCTTTGGGGAGACTCTTATACAAACTATGGCATAAACCATGAACTTTCTTTCATTTTATTGCCACCACTCTAGGATTGACTTCTACTATCTTTCAGCTGAACTTCTGCCATAACTTCCTTACTCTGCTCCTCCTGTCTGTGATCCATGCAGCACTTAGAAGACTGACACTTCTCTCCCTCTCGTCCTTCCTGTCTGTGTTTCATGCTGAGGACTGAACCAGGGTCTTGTACAATGCTTGGCAAGTGCTCTACCATTGAGCTACATTCCCAGTCTCAGAGCACTTTGTGTGCACGCATGCATGTGGTATATATGTGGTATTGGTGATTGAGCCATGGGCCTTCATAGCGCAATTTTAAATTTTTTGAGATAGGGCCCTGCTAAGTTGCCCAGGCTGGACTTGATTTTGTAATTCTTTTGCCTCAGCCTCCTAGAATATTGGGTTTGCAGGCATGTAGCACCACACCTAGCTATAAAGTACATTTTTTTTTTTTCTGGTACCGGGAATTGAACTCATGACCTTGCGCTTGCCAGGCAGGTGCTGTGCCGCTGAGCTAAATCCCCAGCCCCGTGAAGTACATTTTTTTAAAAAAAGAAATTACATCACACCTTGCTGTTATGGTTGATATATTGTGTCAACTTGGGGAGTCTAGAGGTTTGGCTAAGTAATTTAGCAGGAAGCCAGAGTGCTTACTTTGTATACATCCTGAGCCTGTGGAAGAGGAGGACAAAGATTAAGTGAGAGCTACACGCCCCTTAGGTGGGGGTAGCCTGTTTACAAAGTAAGGCAGGGAGAGAGGCTGCTTGCCCATTCCTCTGGTTTTCTCTGGCTGTTTGCCGTTCAGCCGCCACTCCCCCTTTGCTCTTGTTGCTTTGCTACTTTCTGTGTGGGAGCCAGCCAAGTATGGACTGAAACCTCCACAAACTGTAAGCTAAATAAACCTTTCCTTCCTTCATTTTGGGCGTTGGGTATTTTGTCTCAGCAACGAGAGAAAAGTAACTGAGACACTTGCTTAGAAAACATCAATGACTTTTCATTTCTCTTAGGTTAAAGTAGAGTCTTGATCATAGACTAAGAGACCCTGCTTGATCTGGCCTTATATACACTTCTAGTCTCAGCTCAGATCATTTGCTTTTTTCCTTTAAGTTCCTGGATCATGCCAAGTTGTTTCCATGAATTCAGATGCCATTTCTGCAGCCTAAAATATTCTCCTATGTCTTCTCTTGATTAGGCCCTTCTTGTCTTTAGGTCTCAGCTTTAGTGTCATGTTGCCAGCATAAGAAGGCTTCTTTGACTGCCCTAATTGGGACCTCACCATTATTTTCTGTCACTGAACTCTTACTTAAACTCTATTAAAACTCTCCTTAAACTCTATTTAAATTACGTATGTTTTCTTGCAGTTTATCTCCTCCAGTAGATATTAAGTTGTACCAAAGCAGCAGTGGTGTAATTTATTTTCCAGAGTAGGTGGAACTCCAGGAGAATAGTGATCCAATCATCTTGTTGAATAAATGACCCTGGGTTTCTGTTGACACCGTAAACCGCATGTGTAAAACTAAATGTGGTATATTTCTTCTGTGAATCAGCTCTGCTGATCTTCCCTAATGTTGACAATGCTTCTCTCATGTCCTCGTGCAGCTATGAGGCAGATAAAGACATCCTAAGTGACTGTTGGAAGCTGGTCTGTGGAAGGCTTTCTTCATATCTGGGACTTGTTTTTACTTGCTTTTTTGCCCCTAACCAGAGAGGTAATGCCTAAGGTTTTTATTTTTTTTTATTTTTATTTTTTTTCTGTCTTTTTGAGACAGGGTCTTGCTATGCAGTTTAGGCTGGCCTTGAGCTAACTTTCTAGCCCAGGCTGGTCTCAAACTCGCAATGATCCTCCTGCCTCAGCTTCCGGAGTGCTGGGATTACAGGCATGTGCCATCCCAAGGTTTTTTTTTTTTTTTTTTTTAAAGATAAAAGGAGGGAAACATTAACAGGCATACAACATTTTACAACATATCACAAGCACAATACAGACAATACAGAGTTACAAACAAAGTGGTAGGGAATTAACAATGGTGGTTGTATTACATATTGATATCTTCAAAGTGGCTTCTCATGAAAACAGATATAGACATGCAATACTGGTCAACCAAAGACTCATTGACAGTTTCTTTCAGCATAGAAATAGAAGACAGAAGAACAACCATGTTATCTATCCTGTATATACATACCCAAGGTTTTTAATTGTTTAGTTTTTCCTCCCAGAATCTGTCTGCCTGTTTCAGACGCTTGTTCTTTTACTATTCTAATCTTGTTTTCCAGTAGTTTTCCTTCTTTTATAATCTTTCCATTTAATTTGGTGTACATTTTCACCTAGATTAACCTGCCTACAATTCCAGTTGGGTCGTGCATTCTGCCTGTTAGAGACATTCAGGGATGCCTTTCTTTCTGTAGAAGCAGCTTGAGCCCTGTAGCTGGGACTGTCCCTAACCTGCCTTTTGATTTTCAGCTTCAAGCTGCTTTTTATGTAACTTTTATCAAACCAAGATGCTCTGGCCAGACTACCTGAGCTACTTGCCTTTAAGCGTTTTTATACTTTTATTGTAAACATTTTCTCATGTCATTCTCCCTGATTATAATAGTCCTCCTTTTTCCTGTAAAAATTTCAAAAAAAGATTTTTTTACATTACATAGATATGTTTCTGTGTATATATGCATACTTTTTTTTACAGTTTACTGCTTTACAAGATATAATGTCTCGTTCTTCTTTTGTGAAATCTTTGCACACTACTTTGCCTTTGTTTGTTTTTATTTTTTGAGACAGCGTTTTGCCATGCAGCCCAGGCTGGCCTCAGATTTGTGGCAGTCCACTTGCCTCAGCCTCTCCAGTGCTGGGATTACAGGTGTGAGTCACCACGCCTGTCTCCAGAATACTTTGACGTGGAGCAGTGTTCTTCAACCTTATTTTTATAATTGGCTTCCCTTAAGGAGAAAAACTGAAGTTTTTTGTAAGAAGAAAAATTAAATGCTGAGGAATAAGATTTTGTCAGAGTTCAACTTTGGAAGGCCCACAAACCATTGTCAGTGTCTGGGAATTTTTCACACCCTGTCCCCCATGAAAGATTTTGTGTCCCTTTGGGTAATAAACACACCCCTGTTGAGAATGCATGGTAGGATTAGAGCTCTGGCCTTTAGACTCAGAGCTTGGTTTCTGTTCACTTTCTGTTTATAGTAAATCATGGCTTGCTTTAGGACATTTCCTCTGCTGTTGTGCCAAGCATAATTTGCTACTGCATTTTCTTTTTCTTCAGCTAGGCTCTAAGCTGGACACAACCCAGGAGTGAAAACACTGGACTAGCATTGCTCATCTATTGCACTGTTGATAATGCTGCTTTGGGGGTTCTTTCAAATGGCAAAACATGGACTTCTTATTCCTTACAGAATCCTGTGTTATCCCTTGTCCCAAAAAAGAACAGTGTTTATTCATGGACTGTTAATTTGGAGTTTTCCACAACTGACAGTGTTAATAAACTACATTAAATTGTTAGTATGCGGCTCATGTACTTGGCTGTGTTGAGTTTAGATATATGTATTGATTTTCTATATTAAAAATTTCATTCTCCTCCTACAGGCAGTGCAGTGGCATCTGTAGCTGTGGATCCCAGTGGCCGTCTCTTAGCCACAGGTCAAGAAGATTCTAGCTGTATGTTGTATGACATAAGAGGAGGAAGAATGGTGCAGAGTTACCACCCTCATTCCAGTGACGTCCGCTCTGTTCGCTTCTCTCCTGGAGCTCACTACTTGCTAACAGGCTCTTATGATATGAAAATAAAGGTGACAGATCTACAAGGTGATGCAGAGAGACTTCCTTCTTGGTTTTACTCACTTTCTCTTATTTGAGGTCTTTCCAGTTTTGTTAGTCTGCTGTGATTGACTAATTTTTTAAATATTAATTTTATAGTATTTACTAGGTAGATTATTGAGAATGGATTAAGAGCTATTAGAGAAAATTATTTAGTAAACAGTAAATCATTTTTATTGTTAATTTATTACAATGACTCATTATCAGATAAATGATGGATTTATGTATATACTCTTACTAACTTTTTAAAAAGTTTTTTTTGTCCTTTTGAGACAGGGTCTCACTATACAGTTCAGGCTGACCTTGAGCTCACTTTGTAGCCCAGGCTGGCCTTGAAGCCCTCTTGATGATCCTCCTGCCTCAGCCTCCCAAGTGCTGGGATTATGGGATTACAGGCGTGTGCCACCATGCCCGCCTCTTATGAACTTCTTGAAAAAGAAGATAGTATAATCTGGATAATTATATCTTGGGTATTTAGTTATATTTTTAAATATTCCTTAAGCAAATATTTATTATATATCAACTAGGCACAGATAGAGAGATGGACAAATCAGTTCACTCTTCCTTGATGGAGCTTATATTTTAGAGTAAATCAATAAACTATGTAATTTTAGGTTCTGGCCTGTAGAATTCAAAATTTACCATGGTGGGAGACAGTGGCAGGGGTGGGCAGCTGAAGGCGGTTTTAGATTGGAGAGTTAGACTGGGTCTCTGGGGGAAAGCCAGTTGCACAGAGCTTGAGTGAGAAGAACAGACAGGCCGTGCCAGGGTCCTAGAGAAGAGCATGAGAAGCAGAACGACGCCGGGGTTAGGAACAGCACTTGTGCAGTCGTGACAGTGCAAGCAGCCACGGTGGCTGGAACTTCCTGAACCAAGGAGAAAGAGACAGAAGTCTAAATTTAGTAAGGGAAGAGGGCCCAGTGCTGATTCCACGCTCCTGGCGGGAGCAAGCCGGTGTTGGTTGAGGTGGTCAAGGTGAGGAAACTGGGTGGAGGAGGACAGAGCTAGGCAAGAAAAGCAGGAGTCTTGTGTGAGTTAGACAAGGTAACCTTAGGGTAACCACCAGGCGATGAAGCGAGGTATCGAGTGGCTGCATGGATACTAGCTTGGACCTCAGTAGAGAAACCAAAGTTGGAGGAAAAATGGATGTGAATTATAAGTCTATAGGTGGCCAAAGTACAAATGAAATTTTACACAAGGTGTGCTACAGAGGGCGCAGGAGAGATCTGCCGCTAACTCACTGGAATTCAGTGACCTTTTAAGGCAAGGAGAAAAGGGAAAGTGACAAAGGAGACCATGACGGAGTGGCACTAGATTCAGGGAGAACACAAGTGGAGAGAGTTTCCCAGAGGGGGCAGCTGTGTCAGATGTCACCAGGTGATTTCTGTGTATGTTGGTAACACATGTTAGAATTTGTACATACATCAAGGAAGGAGTGAGCTGTTCGTCTTTCTGTTTCTGCCTATTTGATGTACAATAAATACTTGCTTAAGGAATATTTAAAAATAAAACTAAATACTGAAGGCATAATTATCCAGATTATACTATTTTAATTTTTAAGAATTTGGTAAATTCTCCTGGCACAATCTATCCCTGTGTAAACCTTTCACAGTAGTACCTTAAAATTACAGGAAGTCTATAAAATCTATGCATATGCTTAGTCTTGTAAACGAACATCTCTTTTCTTTTTTAATTTAGGGGACCTCACTAAGCAGCTTCCTATCATGGTGGTGGGTGAGCACAAGGACAAGGTGATTCAGTGCAGATGGCATACACAGGACCTTTCCTTCCTGTCATCTTCTGCAGACAGAACTGTGACCCTCTGGACTTACAGTGGCTAGAGTGCATCCTCTGTCAGTCTGTGCGGTGAAAGCACAGAGACTTAAGACTACTGAATTGTCTACTACAGATCTGAAGAACATAGACTGTCTGAGAGGTGGTTTAGCAGGAGGAGGCCCTTATCATGTATGCCGTTGATAGGAGGTGTTGGTGGTATTATTCTGCAGTGCTTTTAGTCTTCCATGTGAGCTCGTGCTGCTGTGACCTGCTATATGTAGTCTCCTTGCCAAAGTCTGCAGAAGAGCTCTTATGTTGTTGGTATGCACGCCAAGTCAAGTGGACGATGTGTTTACAGTTTAGTATTAAATGCACTCCTGGTCTCTGCCTAAATAACAGTTTTATATACACATTGAAACTGAATTATACTTTGTCTCTTATTACACATAATACAACCAAGTTCTTTCCAGATTAAACATGAGTGTTCAGATATTACTTTGCTCTTCTCACAACCCCCTGTTGTATCACTTGTCTTACAGAGGTCAGGGATCATTATGGAGTTCAAAGGTGAAGGGAAAACTGCTTCTTAGTTCATTACACGGTTAGGCCCTTCCTTTTTCCTTAACCCAGGGGTATGGTTGTTATTTTGTCACATAATTTTGTTTGAGGCTAAAAGGTAAATATGTTTGCTTCAGAAACTTGTTAATTTCAAAAATGTTTGAATGCAACAAGATACCTCCCTTCTGATGGTACTGTAGAAGCAGAGCCTCACAGTGAAGTGATGCAATATTTGAGGGTACAGTTTTCCGCTTACAAGTAAAGACTTTGCCATAGACCATAGCACGGCTTGAATGCTATGTCTGCATGATAAGTTAAAATGGAAAATTTAAACTTTGCACTCCAAAAGCTTATTTGAATTTTTTTCTTGCACTGTTTTGTGTAATGCAGAATTATTTTATTTCTGTGGCACTATAGAGCCTAACATTTATGTATCTTTATTTTCATATTGTACAGTAATTTTACTTTAAATTATTAAATAGACTATTTTATTTATTTCAACTGCAGTTGTTTTCTAATTTTTGAACTGTCTGTGTACTGTATGTAGCAAGCATTTTTAATCTTGTACACAAGTGGAAAGGGTTTTAGAAATGTAACTGTGCTTTATTTCAATAAAGACCTCTTGACACCTAAGACTATATCTGTTCCTCAAAGTATATAGTTTTCCAGTTTACTTGGAGGAAGTGGATCCAGTGGATGAGTCTCATAGTCAGTTTCTTACATTTCTTTCTAAAATTCTTTGGCTAATTTTTTTTTTTTTTTAATTCTTGCCAACTGGATAACTTTGTGCTCCCCTCCCCTATCCCTCTCTCTGTGTGACTAGGGATGTAATTGATGGCCTTGCACCTCCTAGGCAAGCATTGTACCTGTGAGCTATACCCCAAGCCTCTGCCAGGATTTTATTACTTAAAAATCACACTGTAGCCTGGGGATGTAGCTTATCGGTAGAGTTCTTGCAAAGCATACACAAGGCCCTGGGTTTGATCTGTGGCACCACAAAATAAAGACACATTTTATACATTGCAAAATGTATAAAATCTAACTTAGACTCCCATTCTGTGGAATTGATGCTTCAACATAGAAAATCTAGTTAGCTTTTTGGTATTTCTTGTGTCCAAAGGTGTGTGTGTGTTACTGGAGACTGAACTGAGCTACTTTTGCGCTGAGCTACTGTGCTTTTGAAAACATTGGGATAAGGTCCAAAACTGAATTACACTGTTCAGTTGCCCAGGCTGGGCTCAAACTTGAGATCTTTCTTTCAGTTCTGGGATTACAATCCAGATTGTCCACAGTTTTGTTTTGTCTTGTCTTGTTAATCTCAGGCAAGCAGAAGGGAATTCTGCTAAAAGTAGGGCAGTTTACACCCAATCTTAGTTTGAGACATTTTAAATATTATAGAAGGCACCTTGAATAAGTTTAAAACTGGCAGAAAGGGCAATTTTTTTTTATATGATCTCATTTTATTTTTGACAAAAGTAAGATACTGCTTTTCTCCCCCAAAACAAAGTGTTCCTGAACATCAAATGATTTCATCCAAACCAAGTGAAAATGGTTTTTCTTCCGGGAAATCAGAAACATTCAAGGAATCCAAAGCTTTCTTAGCATTGCATACAGAATACTTGAGACACAAGGTAGATGAGCTATTCCGCATATCAGCTGGCTTTGAGGACACCTAGGGTTTGTTTCCATTTGTCTTAGAACTGGCCACGGGAAGTCCCTAAGCAGAAGATGACAGTGGAACCCTCGTTTAGTAGTGCGTATTTGTGATGCATAATGAAAGTGTTCACTGTGGGTAGTTGGTACATATCCGTATCCATCTCAGTCCTTTTTACTTCCCCTCCCTCCCCATCCCCTAGTCCTACATACCCTTCCCATCTGCAAAAGGTCTGCCTCCCTGTTCCCTACCTATTACTTTGCTTTTTAAATTACTTACACTTTGGATTTCTCATATTAGAAACTATATGATACTTAATCTGTGTCTAATTTATTTCACTTAGTGTTGTGGTCTCAAGGTGCACCCATTTTCCTATGAATGACTCAAATTTATCCTTCCTGGCTCAGTAGTACTCCACTGTGTGTATATACCACAGTTTCTTTATCCTTGCATCCTTTGGTGGACATACCATCCTCTTTTGCTTGTGAATGGACCAGTTCTTCCACCCTGATGTGCTTAGTCATTCCTTGGGGCAGCCCAGGGGGAGGTATTGCACAACAGGAACATTAGAACCCAAAGGGTATCAGTGTTAGCTGTGCCCCCTGCCGGAGGCGTCCTGAGGGGAGCTGAGTGGGCACCTCTGCAGCTGTGACAGCCCTCCTCTTGTTGTGCATTGAGACATTTCCCCCCACCTGTTCCACAAGCAGATTTTTCATGGTTCCTGTGAAGACTTTTCCTAAGGGGAATACAAAAAATGTTACACCAGATACAGACACCGAGGTTTGGAGCTTCTCTGGGCACATCACCTCCAGGAACCTCTGTGTCTGGAAGTTCCAAGCGAATTAGTTTCCTTCTGTCCTTTTCCTCCTTCCTTTCCAAACTCCCTCCCCTTCCAACCATCCTTCCTCTCACAAAAATTGTACACATTTGTGAGGTACCAGTGATTTTTTCCAATATATGTATACATTATATAATGTTCAAATCATGGTAAGTATCTCAAATATTTGTGGTGAAACCGTCAAAATCTTCTCTGAGGCTGGGCGTGGTGGCGCATACCTGTAATCCCAGCACTCAGGAGGCTGAGGCAGGAAGATGGCTGCAAGTTCAAGGCCAACCTGGGCTACAAAGTGAGTTTAAGTCCAGCCAGAACTGCATAGTGGAACCCTATCTCAAAAAGACAAAAAAAAAATCCTTTTTAGTGTTTTTTAAAAATATATAATACATTGTCATTATTGATGGTCACCTTATTGCACAATAGAACACCGAACTTATTTCTCCTATCTGGCTCTAACTAAGGACAGCTCATTAATACAGACCAGTTCACCTTTATGGTAAAAGTTCATAGGACCAGGCATGTGGCTCAGTGGTAGAGTCCTTGTCTGGCATGTAGGAGGCTCGCGGCTTGATCTCCAGCACTGTCAAAAAGAAAAAAAAAGTTCATAAAGTTATATATTCTACCTTCATCACTGTCAGGGGAAAACTTTTTAAATTGTCCTAAACTGGATGTGGTACACTCCAGTAATCCCAGCTGCTTAAGAGGCTGAGGCAGAATCACAAGTTCAAGTCCAGCCTGGGCGATTTAGTGAGACGCTATCTCAAAAACAGGTGGAGATACAGCTTAGCGGTAGAGTGCTTGCCTAGTATGCTTGTGGTCCTGGGTTCAATTCCCTCTACTAGGGTAAAAAAAATCCTCCAAGTTATAAGATTCATTTCTTTTGTTATGTACTAGACAAAAGTATCAAATTGTTTTAGTTCATTAATATCTGTATGTATATGTCCTTTTTCCATTACTCTGTACTACAGAAGCATAGGAGTAAATGGGTTTTTAAGGTTCATACACACAAAATAAAAACAAAAGGTTCACACAGAAAAAAAATAAGAGGACTGAAGTATTTACTTTCTGAGTCCTCAGTTGCAGAGGTGAGAAAAGAGGTTTAGGTAGAAGGCAGTGCAGGGTTTTTTTTTTGTTTTTTTTTTTTTTTTTTTTTTGTACCAGGAACAGAACTCAGGACCTTGGACTTGCCAGGCAGGCACTTGTGCCACTGAGCTATATCCCCAGCCCCAGTGCAGGGTTCTTAACTCAAGCAGGACCTTCAGTAGTCTGATTCAGTTGTGCTCTTTGCTTTTGTTTTTCTCAAATTTTATTTTTTAAATATTTAACTATCTTTTAAAAATTGTAACGTCGAAGGGCATAATCAACAGTGAAAGGCAACCCATGAAATGGGAAGAAATATTTGCAAATTCTACCCATTAAGGGGTTAATATCCAGGATAGAGAATTCCTAAAATGCAATATTGAAAAAAACTAAAAATGTGCAAAGGACTTGGATAGACATTTCTCCTGAGAAATGGCAAATGGCAACAAGCATGTGAAAAGCTGGCTGGGTGCAAGGCATGCATTTGAGTGTGAGCTACTTGGAAGGCAGCTCAGAAGTTTTAGGCCAGACTGGGCACATAGTAAGACCCTATTTCAGGAGAGAGAGGGGCAAGGGGAGGGAGGGAGAGATGGGGAGAGAGAGCAAACTCAACATCACTAGTCATTAGAGAAATACAAATCAGAACCACTTCTATCAAAAAGTGTCAGAATGCGGAAAAATTGGGACCTGCGCAGTGTTGGGAGTGCAAAACAGTGCAGCCTGCATGAAAAGCATGAAATGTTTTCTCAAAAATTTGAATTACCAGCACTCAGGAGGCTGAGACAGGAGGATTGCTGCAAGTTCAAGGCCAGCCAGGGGTACAAAGTCAGTTCAAGGCCAGCCTGAACTGCTTGATGAAACCCTGCCTCAAAAAGACCAGGAAAAAAAAAAAAAAAAGAACTACCATGATTCAGCAATCCCAATTTGAGTATTTAAAAGAACCGAAAGCAGGACAACCCACAAATATTTGTACATTTATCCATGGTGTTATGGTTGAAACATTGTGTCAACTTGGGGAGTCTAGAGGTTTGGCTAAGTGATTCAGCAGGAAGCCAGGATACTTACTTTGTATACATCCTGAGCCTGTGGAAGAGGGGGGCATGGAGATTATGTGAGAGCTACAAGCCCCTTAGGTGGGGGTAGCCTGTTTACAAAGTAAGGCAAGAAAGAAGCTGCTTGCCACCATTCCTCCCTTTGCTCTTGTTGCTTTGCTACCTTCCTACTCTGGTTGCTTTGCTGTTCGGCTGCCATTCCCCCCTTTGCTCTTGTTGCTTTGCTACCTTCTGCCTCCGAGCCAGTCAGATATGGACTGAAACCTCCACAAACTGTAAGCTAACTAAACCTTTCCTTCCTTCATTTTGGGCGTCGGGTATTTTGTCTCAGCAATGAGAGAAAAGTAACCAAGACACATGGTAATAGCATAATTTCACAAGAGCTGGAAGGCAGAACTGACCTAAGTGTCCATCAACAGATGAATGGATAAACTGCTGTGACGGTTCATTTTGCTTATAAACTCGGCCAGATTCAACATCTCTAGAGATACTGGCACGTGTGTCACACGTGAGTGGGGAAGACCCACCTTGAATGTTGGTGGCGCTGTCCATAGTGGGGGTGCCTGGGTGAAGGGGAAGAAGGGGGCAAGTTCCCACAGCTTCACTCTTCCTGAGCGGGTCTGTTTTTGCTGAGGCCATGGCTGGGGACATCAGATTCCGGATTCTAAGTCTTTGAATGCGCACCTACACCAGTGACTGTAGTGGCTTCCCGCCTTCAGTAAATCCTCTCACAATTGTAGTGTTGCCTCAGTACTCAGCATTAATTGGTTCTAGTGGAACGAGTACCAAAAATAACCCGTACCAAACAAATTGTTTTGGCTGGAAAGAGAAGTGAGTCTCAGGCAGTGGATACTGATAAGTTCTAGCTTTTATGTTGAGTATGAAATAACAAACACTGGGATAAATTTTTTTTTTTTTGTCGAAGTATGTAGAGTACCAAATTCAATGAGTTTCAAAGCAGCTGAATTCCAAGATATGACTATATGCCTATCTATCTATGTGTATATATATATATATATATGGTTATATGTTTGATTCTGTTCCTCTGGAGAGCACTAACAATAAGGGTGTTACAATGGAAAATTATATAGGATTTGTTTTATTTATTTATTTTTTTTTGTCTTTTTGAGACAGGGTCTCACTATGCAGTTCAGGCTGGCCTTGAACTCGCAATGATTCTCTTGCCTCAGCCTCCTGAGTGCTGGGATTACAGGTGTGGTGTGCCACCACGCCCGGCTTATATATGCTGTAAAAAGGAACCTTACACCTCTGTAAAAGTGTCATCTCTTATTTGGAGAGTTTCCTGAGATTGCAAAGCCGGGAATTAATGTCAAAAACAAAAGCAAAAACTATTCTGGCCGGCTATGGTGGCATACCCCAGTAACCCTTTTTTTTTTTTTTTTTTTACCCCAGTAAGCTTAAGTGAGAAAATCACAAGTTCAAACCCAGCCAAGGCAATTTAGCAATTCAGTAAGTCATCTCAAAACCCAAACAAAACCAAAAATGTAGTTCACTGTTAAGGCCCTGGGATGAATCACCAATACCAGAAAAGGAAGAAAGGAAGAAGAAAGAAAAGAAAAAAAAAGAACTGTTTTCAACACCCCTATAAGGACTATCCTTATCATCTCATTTAAAAATTTATGCTCAAAATAGACTTATGGTTTTATTCTAAACGTTATGCACTAGAATTTATAAAATGAGTTACAAAATACGCTTCGTTTGCGTTTTATATGTTGCATTTCCATGAGAGACTTCACTTGCAGCGATGGTTGCTCTGAAAATACAACGCAAAGCGCTGGCTTGAAACGCAAGGGCGCCGTCCGACCCCGCCCCCTCAGCGGACCAATCAGCGGCGCGCGTGGGAGGGCCGTTCAGCCGCCGGCCGAGCGAGTCGATGAGCAGGCGCCGAGGGCGGCGCGCGGCTCGTCGTGGTCTCCGGCCCGCCAGGCAGGCGTCTTCCGGGAGAGGCGGGCGGGGTACTCGCGATGTGAGTCCGTGGGGCCCGCTGTGTCTGTGCAGGCGGCAGGGCTGCGGGTTCGGGGGCTCGCGGGAGGCGGAGGGCGTTCCCGGGCGGGGCACCTGCGGCCTGGAGCGGCTCCGCGCCTCCGGGTCTCCTCGGCGCGCCGAGCCGCGGGGCGGGAGGCACTGCCGGAGCCCGGCGACCCCGAGCGGACGTCGCCTCTTGTTGGTGTCGGTTACGTCTGGAAACTTTACACAAAATTTGGACGAACACAGCCAACAAAATAGCCCGTATTTAATTGTAGTTTACATTTGGAAACTCCAAATCTATTTTTTTTGTTTTTGTTTTTTTTTTCCGGTACCGGGAATCGAACTCACGACCTTGCGCTTGCCAGGCACGCGCTGTGCCGCTGAGCTAAATCCCCAGCCCCGGAAACTCCGAATCCAGAGTGTAAACAGTTAAGTGCTGTACGCCTGTGTGTTTATGGTGGGTGGTGAGCATCGTTCAGCTTTTCTCAGGACCTGAGACTGAGAAGTGGGGTTCTGCGCGGGAGTGGGTGTCTCCCGGTGCTCCCCGGGAGAAAAAGGCAGAGGATTTGGAAAACAAAGACGAGGCGAAAGCCGGGGTCGGGTGGAGTTACCTCTGGCCTGCTGAGCGGGAGGGCTGACCTCAGCAGGAGGGGCGTTTATTCTACACTTGCATAGTACCCTGGGCGGGGGTGCTGTTGCCTAGCGACTAAGGACTGCAGTCGTCCTGCGGGATGCCTTTTTTTCAAGACTGCGGTAGCTGGGCTGCCTGACCAATAACCAGCTCCAGGGGCTCCCAGCAGTTCCCCTCCGAGCTTCTCCTCATCTAGGAACAGGTTGGAAAGACACTTTTAAGTTGGAGAGCCGTGGCTCCAGGAAACTACCCAAACATGCGCGAACTAAATTGCAGCCCCCTGGCTTTCATGCCCCGGTAGACTAACACCGACTCTGACCGTTGAAGTCGCTGCCTTCCCCGTTGCACGCGTTACTTCGTTAAAATCAAGGAGTTGTGCCTGCCCTCCACGAGTGGCCGGCGGCCCCGTGATCTTTCTGACGGTTCTTCGGTCTCATGGCTCCTGTTCCGACCCGCTTTTCAGTTTTCCCGGTTTGGAGAGGTGGATCCAGAGGCTCCCTCGCCAACGAAGACCCTGTCCTCTCCCAGTAACCCTTCAGCACTTTCCCCAGGCCGTTTACGAGCCCAGCGGCCTTAGCCAAGTTGTTGTCCTCATTTAGCAAATGAGTAGAAACTTCCAAGAGTTTTTGTGAAGATAAATGAATCAGGGTATCCACAAAATATTAGCTGTGATCATTGTGTATGTTTTCATTTTGGTATTATTAGTACCAAAGCCTGAGGCAGATGAGAACAACGGTAAGAGTGGTGGAAACCCGGGCAAAGAGGCCGCCACCCGCCGACAAGTCGGAAAGTGACACAGATGTCACCATTAAAGTAAACCAATGTAGGACGGGTACTTTCGCTAATATTCTTTGTTGAACATTTGCTAATAGTCTTGATCTGGGGACACCTGGTCTGTTGCATGAGTAGCTTGTTAGAAATGCAAGATCTCTACCAAACCAGGCGTGATGGTGCACGCCTGTAATCCCAGCACTCGGGAGGCTGAAGCAGGAGATCGTTGCGAGTCCCGGACCAGCCAGGGCTATGTAGTGAGCTCAAGACCAGCCTGAACTGCATAGCGAGACCCTGTCTCAAAAAGAAAGTAAAAAGATAAAAAAATGCAGGGTCTCAGACTCAGAAACTACTTTTTAACAAGTACCCCAGCAGATTTAGATGCAAGAACCCATGGAGGATGGCACAGGAAACGGAACTGCATCAGTACATGTCCAAAGCGCACCCTGATTACACTCATCACGAGTTGGTACGTGTATATAATGCATCTTAATCAGGTAACGCTGAACTCACCACTCACCATAAACACACAGGCTTACAGCACTTCTTTTTTGCAGAAGGTGAGTTCTTCCAAGACTTTCTTCCTAAGTGTAATTCTGGTTTCCCCCCCAATAAAGTATTCAGTTATTCACTGTTTCTAAGTCCCAGGAGTTTGACAGTGATCTCAGTATTTTTATTTCATATATATATATGTAAATATATATATATTTTAAATACTTCGAGTAAATTTAGAAAATTATTTGCTCAATTCCTGTGCTCATTGTTTCTTTTTATAGTTTCTTGTCAAACTTCCTCAACACATCAGGAGTCTATAGGCTGTTGACTTTTTAGTCTTAAATTTTAAGAAATCCGTGTCCGTTTTCTAGAATTGCCATAATAAAGTACTGTGGATTGGGTTGCTTAAACAGTGATTTTAATTTCTTACAATTCTGGAGGCTAGAAGACAGATTACAAGTTTTATTTGTTTTGTTTTTGGTACTGGGAATCGAACTCAGGCCCTCACGCTTGCCAGGCAGGCAGGCAGGCGCTGTGCCACTGAGCCATGTCCCTGGCTTAGAGAGATCCTTGGTTTGTACGTGGCCTTTGTCTTCATATCATCTTCTGGATCTGTCTGTGGCCAAATGTCCTCCTCTTTGTAGGATATTAGATTGGGGTCAGCCTTTTATCTTAGTTCTTTAAAAAACCTTGCCTCCAAATACAGTCATATTCTGAGGTCCTGGAAATTAGCAATTCAAATATGAATTTTGAGGGTGATGTAATTTAGTCCATAACAATATCTTAATCTTATGCCTGTGTAAAAAATATTTTTTTTTGTTCAATAGGCATCCAGAAAATCTTGTAAAATGTCAGCGTTCACTTGGCAAATTATTAAAAAGTGAACACCCATGTGACTGCTGTCCGGGCTAAGAAATAGAGTATTGATGGGATCCCGGAAGCCCTTCAGTGTTTCCCTTGTGTCATTTTTGATCTCAGAAGTTTTCAATATTCAGTGTGCCCTTTGTTGTAGTACTGTATCTGGTAAAGTAGTTCCGTCGCTTTGTGAGCTCTTGTTAGCAGGTGAAGTCAGCCATCGCCCTTGCGCTTTGGCGGGGTAGCAGTCTAGCTCTCTGTGTCCCACTGCATCCATTCTCACATTTACAGATTCTGAGGCGTGAAGTTTGCTCTTCCTGTTCTTCCTCCCCATCGTGCGAGTTTAGCGTTACCTGATTAAGATGCGTTATGTACACGAACCAACTCGTGATGAGTGTAATCAGGGTGTGCTGCGGACATGTACTGATGCGGTTCTGTTATGTGCCATCCTCCATGGGTTCTTTCCAGTTTCTCACGATCACGTGAACTTTCTTCATTCTTTAAGCCTCTGATATCCTTTGGATCCTTGCTGTGGCTTTGATCGTTTGAATTTGCTGGTTACCAAACGTTTCATGAGTATATCATTTGTCACCCACTAGGCTGGGTGTGGGGCTTGGAGAGGTGAGAGGAAGGGCGGATTTAGCTCCGTGGAAAGACATTACCTTTCCACAGAGGAGTTCATGTTACTCTCCTGTACTGTGGTTTTCAGCTTTGGCTGCACATTGGAATCACTTGTGGAGCTTTAAAAATCCAGACGCCTGGGTCCCAGCCTCAGTGATTCTGACTTAATTGATGTAGGAAGTATCCAGAACGTTGGATGTTTCAGAAGCATCTAAGGTGACCCTGGTGTACAGCCATGGCTGAGAAGCTCTGTTAATGGAAGAGACAGACCAATAAAGGGCTCATTCCACCATGTGTTTCACTAGAAGAATAAACAAGCTACGCAGGGAGCACAGAGGAACATTTGGTTTTGACTGGAGTTACTTTTGTGTTTATAGCTGTTCAGGGGCTCCCTTGTATGTAGCGAGGCACATTCCCTTACCTTATATGTGGTAGGTAGGAGGTAAGCTGCCCAGCAGAACTTTCTGTGCCAGTGGAAACGTTCTATATTTGCAGTGTCCAGTGTTATGTGGCAATTTAAGAAATAAATTCAGTTCCTCATTTCCGCTGGCTACACTTAGGGACTCAATCACATGTGGCGAGTGGCGATTATATTGGGATAGTATGTTATACAGAGGCTTAGGGGAAGCAGGTCATTTTCTCTGAAAGCTTCTCTGAATGGTTTTGGAGTTCATTCTTCTCATCTGAAATCTTAATTTCACGCTTTTCTTCCATTTGTTAAAACGGGAGAGAATTTTGGTTAAAATAGGTTTTTTTTTTTTTTTTTTTAGCAAATTTGTTGAGCTATAAGTTACATTCAATACAATTCATTCCTTTAATTGGCTTCCTTTTATTTTAAAATCAGGTAATACTTCATTCTATAACATTAGAATAAATGTTATTTACCCAAATAAAGTAGAAAATTCAGTGGTTTTTAATTTTTTGGCTTTTTGAGACAAGATCTTGTTATGTAGTTCAGGTTGGCCTTGAACTCACTATGTAGTCTAGCTATCTTCAAACGTGCAGCAATCTTCCTGGCTCAGCCTCCTGAGTGCTGGGATTACAGGCATGCATCACCATGCCTGGGTCGGTGGCTAGTATATACACAGATAAGTGCAACGAATACCACAATTTTAGAACATTTTTCATTAATTGTACCGTTTAGCTACAGTACTTTGTATCGCTGTATGCACAACTGTAAGCACCCACTAACCTACTTTCTGTTGATATAAATTTGCCCATTCTGGACATTTCGTGTAAATGGAACCATGTACTATGTAGTCTTCTGTGACTGGTTTCTCTCACATACTGAAACACTTTCAGGGTTTATCCATGTTGTAACATGGTATCAGTACCTCCTTTTTGTGGCTAAATAATAGTTTATTGTATGGCTGGACCACATTTTATGTTGTACATATATATGTGTATTTTATATATGAATGCCATTTTATCATTTTTATTTCATGTACCTCCCTTAGTTACTATGCAGAAAGTATCTTAGCCCTGTGGGGGCTGAGGCAGGAAGATTGCTGTGACTTCAAGGCCTGCTTGGGCTACATAGTTCAGAAACAGCCTGAACTATGTAGTGAGACTCTCTTTCAAAAAAATGAAACCCAAGTGTTGTCTTAACACTAGAAGGAAGTAGTTTTTATTACAAAAATAATTATCTTTCATGATAGCTGGTACCATTTTTTTAGCCTCAAACAGGATGCTGTGTTCCCTGCTCCTTTGTGAATGTCTGCTGCTGATAACGGGTTATGCTCACGATGATGACTGGATCGACCCCACAGACATGCTCAACTACGATGCTGCGTCAGGAACAATGAGAAAATCGCAGGTATCGAAACAGGCGTGTGTGTAGGACCTTGTTAATCCTGTGATGGACATAGTCTGTTTTTGTTATTATTTGACACAGAGCCATGAAAGTAATGTATTAATGATTAGCAGTTATGCAGAATACATGTCTTTTTTTTTTTTTTTTTTTTTTTTTATGGTACTGGGTGTTGAACCCAGGACTGTTTGTATGCTAAGCAAGGACCCTACCACTGAGCTCTAACCTAGCCCCAGAATACCTCCCTAATATTCTTAATTTAAGATTACTTCAAACTCACCTGGTTATTTGTTTTGAATTTGAGTATAAAGCCCATCAAACTGTAAGCCAGTTTGATGTTAGTTCCTAAAACATATATTTGAGATTTTTATGTTTTGGTGGCACAATATAAGGGAAGAATATAGTGAGAAAAGTCATAAAATGATGAAATTGAACTTTTAGTCTTCATTAACTGAAGATTATTTTTATAGCTGAACTATAAAGAAATAAAATCTCTCTACTCTGTTTCAGGGGAAATATGGTATATTAGAGAAAAAAGATGTCAGTCCTGACTTGTCATATGCTGATGAAATGTCCGAATGTTACAGCAGACTTGATTCTTTGACTCATAAGGTAAGATGTTTTCCATCTATGTTATTATGTTAAATTTTTCTGTTTTCGGTAATGTCTGTGTTTCTGTGTACTATACAATTTATAAATTTTTTTGTTACTCTCATCTTGGTTTCTCTCATAGTACTTTGTATTTTTTAAATAACATTTATCATGTTACATTGTAATTATTTCCTTTCCAAACTTTAGAATTGTTGGCATAAAGAATATACTTTATTCATCCTTATGGGCAGAGTAGAATCCCAGTAAGTGCAGCAGATGAAGAAGTCGGCCCGGTACTAGTTTTTAAGCATAAAAGGCGCACCTAGAAGTACAAAAGGTTGTCATGTCGTGTGTCGTGTGCGGTGGCTGGTCATCCCTTCTTTCTCTTGGGCCTCTTAGAAATAACTGGCTGAGGGACAGCCGCGTTGCTGAGGGGTTGAGCAGCTTCGGTGGTTGCGGCGGGTGGGGAGGGCCTGTGCTCGCTGTGCTGCAGAGCGAGCCGGCCGCAGGGTGGAGCGGGCCTGGGGTGGACGGAGGGGTGGTTGTGACGTCCTTTGGGGTCACAGAGGTCTCGCCGTGCTGAAGACACCAAGACCGCTGACGGGAAGAGGCAAGCGTGGAACTTGTCTGAGGTAGGGCAGACAAACAGGGATAGCGGAGGGAGGGAGGGGTAGAGAGAGGAAAGAGCCTGAGGACTGGGAGAGTTTGTTAACCGACATCCGGCTGTGTCCCAGTTTAGGCCTGTAGCACGTGCTGGTGCTTCTTACCAAGTGCTGGCGAAGGAATGCTTGCCTGTCACTGGCTCCAGTTTCACTGTGTTTTGTGTAATGAGCTAGCTGGGTTGCACAGTGAGAAATTCAGAAATGCCTTTCCCGCCTTGGTGATTTTAGCTCAAACAGTGTCGAGCCATCATTGGTAAAATGGAGTCTTGAGACCTTTTTTTTTTGTGGTGCTGAGGATCAAAATTCAAAGTCTTCCATACGCTAGTCAAGTGCTCTACCATTGGGCGCCCTTAAATCAGTAACTAACAAAGAAAGTCATTTTAAAATTTTAAAAATAAGCTGGGCATGATGGCACACACCTGTAAGCCCATAATTCTGGGAGGCTGAGGCAGGAGGATAGTAAATTGGAGCTCAGGAGGGGCTGCTCAGTGACTTAGTGAGGGGATTGGGGAAAAAAGATATATATTGCACAGGTACAAATCCCTGTGATGAATATGATCTTGTGGTGGATTGAGAACTGATGGTCAATTTATAACCCCAGCTGAACTGAGTCAGCGTGGTGCTGGGTGTGGGAGGCCCACCTGAGGGTTGTTGCCGGCAGTGTAAGAGGCCGAACTGCAGAAGAAGTGGAAAAGCTGTTGGAGGCTTTTGGAGGCTGTTGGCAGCTGTAAGGAGCTGTTGGTTTTCCTGGAGGAACTTGTCAGGCTGACTTTCCTGATGAACTCGGCTGCTCTTGTCAGAGGAGGAGCTCGGGACCTCGCTGTTGCTGAGGATGGCCAGGGTTCACTTTGTGGGAGCTCTGGTTCTCACCTTGAGCATCGCTTCCTGGCTCCGGAGGGGAAGATGGTGCACTGCTCAGTCTCCTGGAGAAGCTTGTTGCGTTGGCTTTCCTGATGGAACTCAGCTTTCCTCATCAGTGGAGGAGCTCGGGACCCCACTGCTGCTGAGGGTGGCTGTGGTGCTTTTCGCGGAGCTCTTGATTCTTACTTTGAGTGTTGCTTCCTGGCTGCAGGGCAGGTCCCTCAGCCTGCTGGCACAGGTCCTTCATCCCGCTGGTACAGACTTTCTAGCTTCCACCACTGACCTTTGGGCCTTCCCAGCGCAGATCTGAGAAGCAGGCCTGCATGAGGCATTGTCGTGGGCTCGGCCTTGAGTTGGACTCGTGGGAGGCGTTGTCATAGGCTCTAGGTCTTCAGCTGGACTCATGCAGGACACTGGCGTGGGACCCAGGCCCTCGGTTGGATTCTTTGGTCTTTAGCGTGTGGACAGATTTCCTGCACTGTCTTTTTTGTATGTGACTCTTTGGATGACTGTTATAAATAATCTCATAATTAAGTGTCCTGCATTGTATTGTTTCCTCTTGCAAAACCCCAAACTATAACAGATCTTATGTAAAATATACCAGGAAAATTAATTTAAAATGAAATTAATAAAAGGGGAGCTCATGATAAAATTTAACACAAATTCAACATAGGTTCAATCCCTGTGTTCAATTTCCAGTACCAAAAAAAGAAAAATGTATATATGTTTATTTTTAATGAACTAGTTTATGAACTTGCCTTGAAAGCCTACAAAACTGCTGCGTGACTTGTAAGTCTGTGTGTGCAGTGCTTGATTACTGTCGTGTTTGTCAACGGAAGACATTTCAGTACTCAGCTAACTCATGGCCCACTTTTATTTATTTATTTATTTATGTTTTTTTTTCCCGGTACCGGGAATCGAACTCACGACCTTGCGCTTGCCAGGCAGGCGCTGTGCCACTGAGCTAAATCCCCAGCCCCTTCATGGCCCACTTTTAAAAGTGTAAGTTGTTACAAACCTATTTTAGTATTTGTAAAATACCCATTACGCTACCTCAACAGCTTGACCACTGTGGTAGGACTAAACTCAAAAGTCTGTTCTGTCTAAGGAATAATTATAGTTGGGAGTAGTAGTGCATGCCTGTAAGTCCCTGCTACTCAGGAGGCTGAAGCAGGAGGATTTTGAGACCAGCCTGGGTAATTTAGTGAGACCCCCGTCTCATTATAAAAATGGCTGAGGATGTAGCTCTGTGGTAGAATACTTGCCTAACATGCACAAGGTCCCAAGTTCAATCACCAGTTGTGATGGTGGGGGGGATTAAGTACTGAAATTTACTGAAGGGAGAAGCCCCAGATCTGCCTTCTTGAGCATTCCATGTAGGCGTGGGTGGTCATTCACGGACAGAAAGAAAAACAAGGTCAAAAGGAATATGCACATGCAAGAAAGTCTTTGCTGTGTTCTTCATTTCATTCCTGGATTCATCCTCTGTCCTTTTCTCCCCTCTGTGTGTCACATCCCCACTCCTCCCTTTCCTCCTTTCCTTCCACGAAACCGCTGCTTTGAAATTACACAGAGGTGAACTGATGCAGCTGCTGTGGATCTCGCCTTCCTGTTTCATGATCTTCAGCTTTAAAACTGTAGAAAGGCAGCAGAACACAGCGCCAGGTCAGGGCTGACCTCTGGACCGTGTTCCTCATTTGTCGCTCTCCGTTTGCAGGGAGCCCCGGGAAGCAGGCAAGGTCTGCACTGCAATGTAGCTGATAAAATGTAAGATATGAAGAAAAATATGGGGACTGTTTTAGAAACCCGAACATTGCAGTAAAAGACACATCGCCAGCCATTAGTCCCCCTCAAAATAACGCCCCTCTCTTTGAACTCACCTATCCCATGGTCCTTGCCGCTCTCTGAAACAGTTTTGGAGGTCCTCTTTCATGAGTGCCTTTCGTTGTGCAGTTTTGGCCACCTCAGTGGATGTCTTGAATTGATTCAGAGCGTTTACCTTTCAGGAGCATTTTGACTTTCCGGAAGAGCCAGAAGGTGCATGTGCCAGATCTGGTGAACAAGGTGGCCGAGGAGCAGCGTAATGTTCTTAGAAGCCCGCCTTCCCGTTGGATGGCGCCTGGGAGCAGTAGTCACTGTAGTTTTTGGTCGGGCCTTGTAAAGACACTCAGCAAAGAGGACTTCTGGAGTTGCTTCAGAAAGTAGCAAGAACTGTGGGATACATGTGTTTTCAAAGCAAGGGAGAATATTTTGAGCGGGATTAATGGCAATATGTCTTTTACTATAATTTTTAAATTTAACAGCATGTAGTTTGATCACGTGTCATGCAAGCTTGATAGAAAAAACTAAGTCCTTACTTTGATTTGATGGGGTCACCGTGTTAGAATCTCAAGTCATGTTAAAATTTGATACTCACTGCTGTTGGATTTATTGTATGATTGCAGATTGATGACTGTGAAAAGAAAAAGAGGGAAGACTATGAAAGTCAGAGTAACCCTGTTTTCAGGAGATACCTGAATAAGATTTTAATTGAAGCTGGAAAGCTTGGCCTTGTAAGTATTTGGTGGTGTGATGCTAGTCGATGTAGTGGTTACTAATTTGAAATCGAGTAAAGAAGTGGTTAGGTCTTAGTGTGCTTTAACAGAGTATCTGACCAGCTTTTTCCCAAAAGCTTTTCCTACCAGATGGAGAGAGCAGCCTGCTTTGCAGTGGTCTGTTAGAGGGCAAGCAGCGCAGACCACTTTCCTCTGCCTCCTGATGGGGATTTCATCCCCTCAGTGCACTGTGGTAGCACGAGCTGAGGGACCGGGCGGGTGACGCCCACCCTCCTGCTTTCTGCTGTTTTCACTGTCTTAGTTGTATAATGTAAGATCCTTATATGTTGAGGAAAAGAAAAATGTACTTTTATTCGTTCGTTCATTTTGTGGTCCTGGGGAATTGAGCCAGGAGCTTGTGCAAGCTGGGCAAGTATTCTGCCACTGCGCTTTTGTTTCTCATTTTGAGAAAGAGTTGCTTAGGGGCTTCCAGCTTGTGATCTCACTGCTGGGATTACAGGTGTGCGCCACGCTGCCCAGCTAAGAAAAGCATTTTCAGTAGTATTTTCTCCTTTCTGTTCATTGTGGCAGGTAATGTTTTGTGGAATTGTGTATCATATGCAAGTTACTGATTTTTTTTGGCACATGTGTTTGGTTTTCACGTTGGCCTTTGAGACAGGCGGATGTTACGATACATGTGAAATATTGCAGACGAATTACAGTTGTTACTTATTTTTTTGTGGCTTTGTGGATCATGTAAATGTTCCAAACTGGCTTTTATTGTCATTTTTCAATGAGTAATGTAATCAAATTCTTTTTTCTGTTGTTTGTGGGAAATTGAATTTAGCCTGATGAAAACAATGGTGATATGCATTATGACGCTGAGATTATCCTTAAAAGACAAACCTTACTGGAAATCCAGAGGTTCCTCCGTGGAGAAGAATGGAAGCCAGGAGCCCTGGACGACGCCCTGAGTGAGATTTTAATTAACTTCAAGCTTCATGATGCTGAAACGTGGAAGTGGCGATTTGAAGATTCCTTTGGGGTGGATTCGTTCAGTGTGTTGATGGTGAGATGGGATCAGGGTGACGTGATTAAGTTTCCTTTTTAAAAAAATGTTTTCAAAATGCCACCATAATTATGTTATGGTCACTCACCATGGTGATGAGCCAGCAGCAAAGCTGGGCAAATGATTTTGATTCCAGTTCTTTGGTTTTACCGATCGTTCCCCTGCGCTGGTGGCAGGGCTGGCTTCGCAGTGACCCTGACTCCGGCGTCTTCTCCTTTGCAGGTTCTCCTGTGTCTGCTCTGCGTGGTGATGATAGTAGCTACTGAGCTGTGGACACGTGTGCGTTGGTACACCCAGTTGAGACGTATTTTTGTCCTCAGTTTTCTCGTCAGTTTGGGATGGAATTGGATATATTTATATAAGGTATTAAATAGGCTCAGAGTTTACATATTGTTAAATGTAATTCATAGTGAAAAAAGAGTATACTTACAGCACTCTAGCTTCAGCTGTGGATGGAGGGTGGCGTTTGGAGGTGGTCAGTGGGAAGGTAGTAAATTGGCAATTTTCAGCTGTCTGTGGTTTTTTGGGTCTTTGACCATTGTGGGGAAAATGTAGTCCTGATTCTGATAACCAGTTCCTGCTGGGTAGCAAATGGGCAACTAAATTAGCACAGAGCTGGGTGGACACATTTTAAAAACAACTTAAGAACTCTTAGAGAATTTGGGGTATGTCCTTTTATTCCTTATTACAAATGATGCCAAAATGTCATTTTTTAAAAGTTAGGTTATAGGGGCTGGGGATTTAGCTCAGTGGCACAGCGCCTGCCTGGCAAGCGCAAGGTCATGAGTTCGATTCCCGGTACCAGGAAAAAAAAAAAATAGGTTATTTTTTTTTTTTTTTTTGGTTTTTTCTCCGGTACCGGGAACTGAACTCACGACCTTCCACTTGCCAGGCAGGCGCTTTTGCCGCTGAGCTAAATCCCCAGCCCCAAAAAATAGGTTATGTTTGAGTGTAAAGTGGTAAGTTTGTGGTGGGGTGTAGATCAGCGGTAGGCTGCACTTGCCTGGCGTGAGTAAGGCCTGGGGCTCCATCCACAGCACCATTAGAAAAAAAAGTATGTTCACAGTATAGAGTTTGGAAATGACCTAAGTAATTTTAAAAATTCACCTATAATTTTATTACCTATGAGTAATCATTGTCAGTGTTTTGACATTTCTTTCCAATCTTTTTTCTAATTTTTAATTATCTTTTGTTTATTTATTTTTTTGGGTACCAGGAATTGAATTCACAACCTCATGTTTGCCAGGCAGGTGCTATGCTGCTGGGCTAAATCCCTGGCTAATTATCTTTTAAAATTAGAGCAGGGTGTGGTGGTACTTGCCTGTAACCTCAGCTCTCAAGAGGCTGAGGCAAGAGGCTTGCCATGAGTTCAGGGCCAGCCTGGGCTACATAGTGAGACCCTGTCTCAGAAGACGAAACAGAAGAATAAAAATAAAAGTAATGGAGCAGCCTGGTTTGGAGAAGTGTAAAGGCACATTAAACGGAGGTGTTCTGGATGTGCGGGCCTAGCCGTCATGGTCAGCAGCCTCATGGTCCCTTTGTGCTGTTGTTGGTCAGCTAGCTTTTGCACAACATCAGGCTGAAATTGCCAAGATGGAGCCATCGGGCAACGTGTGCGCAGAGAAGATGGACTGGACTGGCAGTCTCTGGGGTAAGAGGCTTTTGTTCATTTGTCCCTGTTTTTAATAGAATTCCGAGTGAGAGAAAACAGTTATCACAGAGAACAAACTGAGACACTGGAGGAGGCCTTCCATGACTGAATCTTCAACATGAGAAGAATGTGTAGCTGGTGGTGGTGGCTTGTACCTGTAATCCCAGCCTGTGGGAGGCTGATGCAGGAGGATCATGAGTTCAAAGCCAGCCTGGGCTACATAGCAAGACTCTGTCTTTAAAAAAAAAAAAAATTAAAAGCAACTGCAGCCAGAGTTCTAGGTGTAAACTAGTGACATAGGCTCCTATAAAGTCACAGGGAGGAGTAGAAGCTGCGTATGTGTTGGCTCCCGTGTCTCGTTCCTCCAGACGGCAGAGTCCCGCTTTGCTCACTTGTTCCCTTGGTCCTTGGCACAGTGCCTGTCCCTCCAGGTCCCCAACAGAAGTTTATTAAAGAATTGAATGAGTGTGTACCCAAACTAAGCGCCGTCCTGGCTTTAATCTCTTCATACTGTCTTTGGAAGTCTTTTTTTTTGACTTTATGAAATCTTATGTTACCCATTTGGTAAACTTTAACAAAAGAAAAAATATAAAATAATAAAAAAAGTAAAGAATTTTTTTATTTTCACAGATCTTATAAACATTCCTAATGTTGTCTTTAATTATCTATAGTTAGCTTTGGGAAATGTATAGTGTTCAAGGGCGCTTGGTAAAGACAAGTCCATAACAGTGTACATAAAATAAAATAGAATCTCAGTAGATTCTGTAAATTGTGTTTTTTTTTTTATTTTAAAGAGAGAAGAACAAAAACAAATTTACAAACACAAAGACATAAATAAAATAACACAAAAACAACAAAAACCGAAGCTGGGTGTGGTGGTGCATGCCTGTAATCCTAGCACTAGGGAGGCTGAGGCAGGAGGATCTTTGCAAGTTTGAGACCAGCCTGCACTACAAAGTGAGCTCAACGCTAGCCTGAACTGCATAGTTAGACCCTGTCTCAAAACAAAAACAAAAACAAAACAACAAAAACCATACAGAATCACAAACAAGGTGATGGAAATTAACAGTGGTTGTTGTATCATACATTGTTATGTTCACATTGGTTACTCAGGTAAACAAATATAAGTATGTAAATTGATCAAACAATAAACATTAACTGTTCCTTTCAACAAAGCAATAGACATCAGTACTCGAATTATCTCAGCTATCTTCTGTGTATATATATATGTACTTTTTTTTTTTCTCCTTCCTTTTTTTACTTTCTCACTTCCCTCATCCCAGCTGTTCTTTCCTTTAGAACAGTTTCTTTCCCTTTCACTGTATCTGTTGCATCTCTCAGGTTTTATTTACTCTCTCAGGCTCTTACACTAGGGAGACATGTAAATTGTTTTAAAATTCAAATTTTGTAGAACATTTGTGGGAACTGCATCAGTTTAGCTGTGCTTTTTGGCTTGTGGGGATAGCAGAGTGCTGTAGAAAAGTGGGAAGAACTAATATTCCACTTTATTTTGTAAAAATAATAAAAAACTGACCTTTAAAATTGAACTATGGGGTTGTAGATTCACAGGGATTTATAAGAAAAAGAGCCTATAAACTTTTTATCCATTTTTTCCAGTGGTAGTACCTTACACAGCTGTGGTAGTACAATATCAGAGCCAGGATACTGACTGTGATACAACCCACTGATCTTATTCAGATCTCCCCACTTTTACTTGTTACTCATTGGTGTGTATAAAAACCTACTTTTAATTATTTACCTTTCAGAGATCCTTATAAAGTAAAATTCGTCTTTGTAAGGTAGGTAATTTGGGTTTTAAAAATAAACCTTATTTTGGATATAATATTAAGAAATTTTAATCAACAATTATAGGAAGTTTATTTAAAATTTAAAATCTGAACGACTGGTGGATAGACAAGAAGGGTCAAAATCAAAATTATGTTATTTGGGAATGAAAATGAAGCACAGCTTTAAAAAATGATTCCAGTGTTTTGTCTGTTTGTTTCGCTAAATAGAATGGCTCAGAAGTTCGTGGACTTACAAGGATGACCCATGCCAAAAATACTATGAGCTCTTACTAGTCAACCCTGTTTGGCTGGTTCCACCAACAAAGGTATAGAATATATTTTATAAAAATTACTTATATACAGTATTTTAAAAATCCTTTGCGTTTATAAAAAGTGTTTTTAAGAGTTGTTTTACTAATAAATCTTTGTCATAGAAAAAAAATTCCATCAGTGATTTTTCATAATTTCAGCCTGAACACACAATAACTTTGGGCTTACTCTTTTTATCTCAGTCTTTTGAGGAAAAAAATTAGGTTTTTATCTTTTCTTTCAGGCACTGGCAGTTACGTTCACCAACTTTGTATCGGAACCACTAAAGCACGTTGGAAAAGGAATTGGTGAATTTATTAAAGCACTCATGAAGGAGATCCCGGTCTTACTTCAGATTCCAGTGCTGGTAATTTTGGCATTGGCTGTCCTGGTTAGTATATTAGCACCATGGATTAACAGGATTTGCAGAAAGAAAGGCAAATTACTGGGCTTCTTTGCTGTTGTGTATCATGGTAAATCGTGCTTACTGGTATGAGGTGACTTTAAGTGAGAAATATTTATACTTCCATGTGTATTTTTTTTTTTTTTGTACCGGAACTCGAACTCAGGACCTTGCGCTTGCCAGGCAGGCGCTTGTGCCGCTGAGCTGTATCCCCGGCCCTCCATGTGTATTCCTATAATCAGGGAACTGCTTCTCATTTGTAGCTGTCACAGCAATAACAGAATAGCTTGTTAAATGTTTTTTCTTTTTATTTTATGAAAAATAAAACAAATTTTCATAGCCAAAAAATGAGAATAACAAGCGTTATCAAACTGTTTATTATTATCTTCAAGGTAATTACTCAGGACAAGACATAAACCGAAAAGATTCTTATGGAAAGCAAACATAATTTTAAATTTGGCAAATATACTGGAAGTATAATAGTCGGTATTAGTACACTGGAAGTCAGCTGATTACTTATCTTTGAGTAAGGGACCCTGCTTGGAGCGCTGAGGAGGGAAGAGTCTGCTCGAACAGACTCAGAAAGGGGTATGGAAAAGGCGGGGTGTGCCGAGAAACGGGGGGACCTGGCGGCAGGCATGAAGAATGTTGCTCATTATCTCCCTGTGGTCTGTTTGGCTTTTTGTAGTTGACTTTGAGTCAGTACCCCAAAAAAGCATTTGTCACAAAACAAAAAGTAAAGAATTCAGATTTGCCGTGGGAAATTCTTCTCCCGCGGGAAACAGAATTCACTACACCTTATTCACCCTGAAAGTGTCCTTTTCTTTGGTTTCTTTTGGTTTGTGGTTACAGGATTCAGTGGTTTTGAGGTGAGGTTTTATTAGGTGACATTAGTTCTATAGCAGTAGTTTAGTGCCGAAAATTATGAGTAAAACTGCATAGTTTCTTGTTTCATCTGCTTCTGAAGTGTTATATTCTGACTTTAGTTGCTCCTGTCTTCAAATAGTATATCCCTAGTACAGTACAGAGATTTTCTACTTTTTGTTCCTAGGACTCTTGCAGGTCTTTTTTTCTTTTTTTAATTAAAGAGACAAGGTGTTAGTTACTGTGTTGCTCAGGCTGGCCTTGAACTCATAGGCTCGAATAGTCCGCTTGCCTTGGCCTCCCAAGTACGCATTCTTAAAAATGGAAGACCACAAAGAGCTCCTGTGTGTGGGGTTTTATTTACAGGTATTTACCATATTACCAGGAATTAAAACAAAATTTGAAATCACAGGTACACACAAACCCACATCCCATGAGCCGTCAGAGGGTGGATCCCACCCTACCCCCTGAACCACTCCACCGTACTCACAGACGACAGGGAGAGACAGACGATGAGTCATATTGTGAAAAGTTTTTACTCAGAAGATTTCATCAAAGTTTCAGCAGCTCCCGCAGGGGTCCCTGGGCCACACTTGGAGAACTGCTGCCTAGTTTATCCCACCAAATGTGAATCCAAAACACACTGTTGAATTTTAGGTGTAGCTTAAGCCAAGTTTTTATTTGTAAAAAATAAACCTTCTGGAGAATATTTATATAGTGACATGCAATTTTAAATAATTTTGGCATTTACTTTCTTTAGTATAATGCAGAAACATACAGGTAATTTTTATCAATTAGCACTTTCTAATTTAAATTTCTAGGCCTCATTCTGTTCTTATGATATAAATTCAGTCTGAATGTGTCTAGCTGATTGAAATATTTACTTAATACGGAGTGATTTATTTAGTTTTATTGGCTACTGTGGTCTGTATTAAAGGTCTTTAGTGAAAAAACTGAAATAAACATAATTGTGTCTACAAATGTTAGGTAATATTGTTAACATACTGAATAACAAACCTCATAATTCCATTGTAAGTCAGCCATTAAGTCCTCACAAAAATGTGTTTCTTTTCCTGACAGAGTTTCTGCTATGGCGCTGGAAAGTCAGTCAGTGTGATGAGACATTTAGGGGGTCCTGAGAGAGGACCTCCCCCGGCCCTGGAGCCCAGTGGGCGAAGACGGCCGAGGGCAATTGACGATAGACGCCTTGGCGGAGCAGGTGACGCAGATTTCTGTTCCGGGCGCCCTTCTGGCTCCAGTAAGCAAGGCCCTTATGACAGAACGTGGGAGTGTAGAAGAGAGGCTTTGAGGGAGAGAGACGCTGGCTTGAGATTGCACAGTGGCAACGAGAGCCCTGAAGTGCTCCGGGCGTGTGATTTACCGGACACAGAGGCACAGGAGCGCCCCAAGGCGGTACCCAGTGTAAGTCAGCCGCTGTTTGCTTTGCTGTCCTTTCGTGCTAGGCCTGCATGCTGCCACAGAGCTTTGGATTGTCTTTACTCTTTTACCCTTCACTGTGAATTACTTCACTGGTGATGCTCTTAGTTGTTTTTTGTTTTTTTTTTTTTTTTGTACCAGGAATTGAACTTTGGACCTTGCACTTGCCAGGCAGGTGCTTGTGCCGCTGAGCCGTATCCCCGGCCCTTCTTCCTCCTTTCGGTCAGAAGTTAGTTCAGTTTCTTCAGAAGTAAAAGGAGATTTAAGTTTTATGCTAAACACTGTTTAACCATAGCTTGTTGGAGAAGACAGTAGTTCATAGGGAACCAACAAATGAGCATGACTGAGATTTCCACCTTTAAAGCGAGAGAAGGGGCCTCGCTGAGGGCCCGAGCACCGGGACCCCGGCGGTGCAGCCCTGCCAGCCCCGCTGGGTGAGCGCGGCTGCGGGTCGGGCCTGGCTTTCCCAGCTCCGCATCCTGAGCTGGTGAGACTGTACTTTCACCTTCAGAGTGGTGAGATTTTCCCTGGATCTTAACCAAAAGGCTGAGAAATGATATTTTCATGTTACTGGTTTTCGTTTTTTTTTTTTTTTTCCAAAATGGGGCGCTTTCACTTACATTTTGGGAAAGGATTTGGTATTGTCATTTACAGAGTTGGACAGTTACGAGCACATTTAATCTAGGATATTATAAAATCTCGTTATGGACTTTCTTCTAAAAATAAGTCTGTATGTACCTGGAACACCTGAGGATGTTCCTCCCCGCTTTATGGTCAGTGCTTGGCTACCCACCACTCGTCTCAAAAACGCTCTAGTAACTTCCAGTCTCACTTGAAGGGAACACTTAGTCTGCCCGGCCTCCCGTCTGCCACCTAGTCACTTTCTGCCGACCTCAGTCACAGGGCCGTGGCCGTTCCTTAAGCTCAAGACCCCACGCTTGCTGTCCACTGTCTGTAGACTTTGCCCCGCTGTATCAGATGCTGGTGACCAGTCCTCTTGACCCCTCCTAACTGGGTCATTATGGCTCCAGTGACGTCTGCACTCCTCCGTCTACCGTTCTGTGAGGCTTTTATATAATTATAATCCAGCACTGAAAGCAGGACTTGAAATGGTTTGCAGCTTGCTGCAGTGGAGCTTGTTAGGTATGTGTGATTGCTAAACCCTTATACTATGCTATTTAAGTAGTAAAAATGTAATTCTGTACTTTATAGCATAGCTTACCTATTCTGGACACAAAGCCCCAGGAGACTGGAGGGATCGCAGGAGAAAGCAGCCCGGCTGCTAAGCCTGCCTCCGTCCCAGCGGCCTCAGGGGCCCCCGAAGGCTCCCCTGGCGTGGGAGAGGCCCTGCTGAAGAGCGACGCAGAGGGCGGCCCCCAGGAGGGCAGCGTGTGCAGCCCAGCGTGCGGAAGGGAGCCCGTGAGCAGCCCCTGCAGCTAGCGCGACCGACGGCCGCAGCTCCGGAGTCTTCCTCTTGAGTTTTGTAAAGTATATTCTTAACAACTCTGTTCACTCTTCCCTACATACATTCTGGTATTTGCTACAAAGGTGCCATTTAATGATATTTTTTTGACAATCAGAATTAACAAGCACATGTATGTTTATATGTATGTATGTAAAAGTTTCTATTTAATTTCATCTTTTTAAGATAAATCCCATAAAGTTTTGAAGTGTTAATTTTGGAACAGGGTCTCACGGAATTTACTTTTTAAAATGAATATTCTGGTAGTGTTCACTTGGCTAACTAAGGTGACTGAGCTAGGGGGTACTGCATTGAAGTTTCCTTGCAGGAAACCCGTGTGTTCCCTGGCAGAGCCCCGCACCACCTCCTTCAGTCCACAGAATCATCTCAGGGTCCGTCCAGCCGACAGCTCAGCTCCCCCCGGCCAGCACAGGTCAGTGCGGCTGTGACGGGCCCCGCCTCCTCGCGCCTTCCGGTGGCACAGAACTGAGGAGTGCCGTGCGAATTCAGACTCACACAGCTTGCGTAGCCAGGAGCCTGTTTTACACTGTCAGCACACTTCGAGAATGGCTTTACTTTTTCCCTGTCCAATCAGTCTTACAGGCTTTGTAAAATCTGTTTTTCTTTTTGCTCAGAATCCTAGCAGTTGGCACTGTTGGATATTACTGTCGCTTAGACAAACCATTATTGTCCTGGCTGTATGATCTAATTTTTATAGATCTATACCTAGAGAAGAACATTATGGTAAGGAAAACAGAATAGGGTGTAATAGGTAAATCAAAAATGTTTCGTCAACATTTAAACTCCTGGTTTTTATATTTTTGAGACAGGGTCTTGCTCTGTAGTCTAGGCTGGCAGGCCTGGAACTTGCCATGTATCCCAACCACGCTGGCCACGAACTCATCATCCTGCCTCAGCCTCCTAAGTGGTGGGCTTATAGGTGTACTGTACACCATCACACCTGGATAGTCTCGTTGATTTTTTTTGTTTGTTTTGTTTTTTTCTGGTACCAGGAATCAAACTCACGACGTTGCACTTGCCAGGCAGGCGCTGTGCTGCTGAGCTAAATCCCCAGCCCCTAGTCTCCCTGATTTTAAAAAGCATTCTTTGTGATGCTGAGCCAGGAGGATTATTACGAGCTTGAGGCCAGCCTGAACTACATATGAAATCCTGCCTCAAAAAATCATTTTAAACCTTTTTTAAAGAACACTTTATGAGCTGGGTGCACACCTGTAATGCCAGCACTTGGAGGGCTGAGGCAGGAGGATCGTTGCGAGTTCGAGACCAGCCTGGGCCACAAAGTGAGCTCAAGGCCAGCCTGAACTGCATAGCGAGACCCTGTCTCAAAAGGATAAAAAAAATACATAAAACGCACTTTATGAATTTTGCATACGTCCCTAGTTAGCAGACTTCAAATACATTCAGGTGTCCTTTGTTTTAACCATATTCACACTACAAGTTATATTTAGCCAATTTCTAGAAATGCATCTGCCAAGAATAAAATCTTAAATTTTTTTTTTTTAAATCTTAAATTTTTAAGCAGGTATTTCTCAAAACATTTTTCAAAGTAGTGGCTTTTTGATATTTTCAACATGAAATGCAGAATATACCTATTTGGCTCCAGAAGTATTAGGTGTCTGAAACAATTTTACCTGTTGATATGATTTTCCAGTTTAATATTGCAAACCTATTTAGTATTGCATCTGAAAGGTAATCATTTTCATCTAAGAAATACAAAAAGATTTTAACGTGTAACAAATGGGTGAATGAAATGCCTGCAGTTCAGAGATCCGTGACCAGACTTTACTGCTCAGGGTGGACCTGTCCTCTCAGCTGTCAGCGGCTCGGAGCGCCTCAGGTGACAGGCACACGGTGACCGTGAGGGGAGAGGTAGTGCTTCGTGCACTCCTGACTGCTTTCAATCCCCAAGCGAATCCTTTCTAAGAGCACTGCGACTTTCGTCTTTGTGCCCTTTCATTGCAGATGCCCGTTGGGGTGGAGCCTGCCCTAACAGCTAGCGAGGCAGCATGCTGCCGCCGCCGAGTGAGCGCAGCAGCTCAGGGAAGACGCGGTTAAAGCAAGCAGCCTGTCAAGGCCAGTTATTCCAGAGGAGCGATAAAGCGTGTTTGCAGACTGGCCATATTTGCCGCTAAAATTAAGGCTCACAGTAAAAAAGCTTTTAAGAAAATCAGAATGGGGACAAACAGCTGTTAAAAGCATTTTTTAAATGAACAATGTTGGGTGTTTACAGGAGCTAAGAACCACTGTATACACAAAATAAACATTTACTTTTACACGACTGTGGTTAAGCTGTCAGCGTGTTCCCCGTGTGCAGCTCGTGTTCCGTGACCCGCCTCCAGGCCCCGCTCCTGTCCCTTCCGTGCTGTCTGACCCTGCACTTCCTTCCTTATCTCCTGTTAGTACCCTTGTAAACTACCTCCGTCCGTGGGATGAGGCCAAGCTGATGCCTAGCCTTTGCCTTTCATGCTTGATTTCTGTGAGTTTTCTATTTACGTGGCCTGTGTTCATGCCAACCATAGGGTTTTTTTGAGCATTAGGTCCTATGAAAGTTCGTATTACAGTAGTAGTACGTAAGAAAACAAACAGCCCAAACATGCTAAAAGAAGTTTATTTCTTAATGGTTTCTTTTATACTGGCCTTGGCTAAAAATATATTGAAAATAGATTTTCCTTACAGAACAAAAAATCTAGCTTTTTTTTTTTTAATAAGACTGTAACATTTTTACATCAGTCAAGTACAATATTTTTACTGAAGAGTGTTATTTCCCACTAAACTCAAAGTTAGGTATTAAAAATGCCATTCATTGTCAAATTAGTAAGTTTTAAGAATTACCTCAGCAAGAGGTCTAAATTCTAGTCTAGGATTCATTTAAATCCCTGCTTTATAAAAACTAGTAAAGCCGCAAAAGAACGCAGTCCCAGGTAGTAGTCACGGGAAGTGGATGAGGCACCTTCGGGGCACCTGCGCCCTGCAACAAGCGGGTGCGGCAGAGCGCTGCACAGACAGCCACCACGCGCTGTTCTGCGGCGGCCGAGACACCTATGTCACCCTGACGTCACTGTAAGCTGTACTGCAGTGCTTACGTTCTCCATTTGAGGCGAAAGTAGATTGCATTTCCCTGCAGTGCTCTGAAAGGAAATAGGGTCTTTTAAAATATCCATAGTAACTAGTGGTTTGGTGCTTATTTTCCTGAATTTTTAAATTCCAACAAAGCATTACTTTGCAAAAGGTCCTTCAGCCCAAATTCAGTGTCTCTGTTTTGATCTCGTTGTAGAAGAACTCTCTGTTCATCCATTCTTTTAGCCTGAGACCGTAATATTAGGCTAAAGAAGTCTTCGTCTGGTACCGTCGGGCCCTTCGTGGTAGCAGGTGGAGGAGCGCATCTTTGGTCATCTAATCTGGACCCCTACAAATATAAGAGAAAGATTAAGATACAGGTACTTTAGGGAAGGAAAACACGAAGCTATATATCACGTATAACTAGAAATGGATCTGTAATATTTCTGCCTTTTTCAAAAATTTAATCTGTAGAAACCCAGCAGAACTTTTTCTTCAGAGTGATGCACAGAATCAGAATGTAGTATCATGTAGAAGGATAGCCAAGTTTCATGGGCTTAGTTAGTACATCATACTGTTCTAATCGTAATTGGTCACAAGAAATAATCTGGGGTCACCTGTGGCTCCCTAAATGACCGATAAAGTTACAATACTGCCATACCAGGCAGTAACAATGTAATTACGAACTCTAGAAACAATATTCTGTACAAAATCCTGCAGCACTAAATTTAGGTCACAGGGGACAGCAAACTATAACTCTACCTACTTTTTTTTGGCCTGAGACAGGGTTTTGCTATGCAGTTCTGGCCTTGAACTCACTGCTTGAACTTGCTGCAAACCTCCTGCCTCAGCCTCTTGAGTGGTGGGATTACAGGCGTGAGCCACCGTGCCCGGCCTCAATACCTGCCTTTGAAAGCCTGCTTTTCGTTTCACCATCAGAACGCAGGCTGGCTGATTTCCTGCTGTGGGGCAGAGCTGCGCAACTGGAGAAACCACAGGTCTGTAAAGCCTAAGTGTTTTCTCTGTCCCTTTCCAGAAAAGGTCTGCCTGCCTTTGTCTCAGGTAGTTAAATCGGTTCAGGAAAACAGCCCAGACTGAATTCTGTCAAGTTCTACCTTGTGATTCCCATATTAGATGTACATTAGAAAAGTTGCTCATCAAATAAATACAAGAACTTAAAAGTCTACAGTTCCTGGTACTACAGCTCAGGAATAAGGGAGAAATGTGACAGGTGATACCCGGCTACCCACGACATTGCCAGGCACTGTGCGAAGCACTTCCGTGCCTTGCGCCCTTTGACCCTGCAGCCTCTGAGGTGCAGCTGTTCACTGGCCTGGTCAGCGCTGCCGCTATCTTCCCCACACAGCTGGCTCACTCAGCATCTGTCCTGTCCTAATTCCTGACCACTGCAGTGGCTCCGGTCAGTCCACAGCCGGGCGCTCCCCTTTCTAGCCGTGCTCAGATCTGTTCTCACCCTTCTCTCCCGCCGCGTCTGTTCTCGCAGTCTCGCCGCCCTCCCTCTGGGGACGTCTGTTCAGGCGCTCCGCCCATTGCTGAGTCAGCTGATGTTGTTCAGTTTTAGGAGTGCTTCCTATGTTCTACATACTCATCTCTACATAAGTAATACGCTATTTCCAGATATTTTCTGTGGGTTGCCTTTTTCTCTGTTCATAATTTGTTCGGATGCACAGGTTTTTTACTTCTGTCATACTGGGAATGGAATACCACCACTGAATTATATTCCCAGGTCTATTTTTTAAAATTCGATTTTCTTATTTTTTTGAGACAAGGTCTCACTAAGTTGTAGGCTGGCTTCAAATCTATGATCCTCCTGCATCAGCCTCCCGAGTACTGGGATTAGGTGTGTGTTATCACATACCCGATACAGTTTTTATCATTTTTCTTGGCAGTACTGGGGCTTGAACCCAAGGCCTTTGCACTAAGCAGCATCCTCAGGCTTTTTTAAAATTTTGAGACAGGTCTCAGTAAGTTGCCCAGTCTGGGCTCAAATTTACCGTCCTCCTGCTTCAGCCTCCCAGAGTGCTGGGACTGTAGGCGCGGGCTATGTGCCTAGCTTTTTCTATGTGCCGCCTTATGTACATTTGCAAATAACTGCAGGCTGAGTTCCCAGAAATGAAATTGGTGACTCAAAAGGTATAAATATTTTTCATATGTAAACATTTCATTCTGCAAGATCCTCCCAAAAAGTCTCTCCTGCAGTGACCCGACTCCGCTGGACCACTCCTATCCGTAGACATGGGGTACCGTCACCTAAGTAAGGAGAAGCCCGTCCACCTACATGTGCTCTAGTGAGTGGTATATTTCTTCACTTCTCTTTATAAGAAAAAGCTCTTAGCAGTTTTCTCTATTATTTTCTCTCCTTTAACATTTCCCGTTTTATTGTACTCGTTTGTCTCCAGTATACCAGGCAAATAGTATCGTTCAAAATCACTTGCCAAGGATATAGCTCAGTGGCACAAGTGCCTGCCCGGCAAGCGCAAGATTCTGAGTTCAATTCCTGGTACCAAAAAACGAAACTAAACAAAAGTACTAATAATTCCCATGTTGCCAAATCTTGTAGTTCAGTTACTATGTTTTTGGCTTCTCAGGAATATTCGGAATAATCTTTAAGATACTTTCTTCACTTGGTTTCCACCCGCACGCCGCACTGGTTGGACTTTCTTCCAACTCTGGCTATTGCTGCGTTGTTGGCTCAATCTTTCTCCTTAGCTAGGGGATTCTGCCTTTTTTTTGGTGGTACTGGTGATCAGACACAGGACCCTGGGAAAGCTCGGCCACACGCCACATCCCCAGCTCTGATGAGCAGATCCGGAATGCCCGGGGCCGCTTCCTGTTTCTTTATTCTTTAGGTGCAATCTCTTCTCAGAGCTTTAATGCCAGCTTTCTGCTGATGCCTCATAAATTTACTTCTGCCTTGAGCTCTATGTTTTATAAATTGCTTATTCAGCCTCTCCGTTTCACTATCTAATTGAATATTTCATATTGAATATATTTAAAACTGTTGTTTTTCTCCCCAGACTTTCTCTAGTCTTCTGTCACCATTCCTTCACCCTGTTATTCAAGCCAAAAAGACAGAAGCTGGCCTTGAGCTCTTTCACGCAGGCCCCCTACTTGGTTTATTAACTAGTCCTGCCAACCAAATGTAACATCCCAATGTATCTGCACTGTACCTGTGCCCCGCCACACCCTTGTTCACGTTAGCTTCCTGGCTGGTTCTGTACCAGTACAACTGCCGCGCGACTTTTTCCTGTCAGTATCCGAGATGATCTGTCGATCTGTCAGGATGCGCCCAGTGGCTTCCGAACATGGTTGGAACACAAGATGTCATCATGGCCTACGAGAGCCTAAATGCTCCAGGACCTAATAACCCTCAAAGCTGCTACCCTGTTGTATCTAAGAGGGGATCTGCTGTTCCTGCACGGAATGCTCTTCCTCCAGATACGCACATGCTGACTCACTCTGTTTAAACTGCAATCCAAAAGGTCATCTCTAACCACCCTAAAACAGACACGCCCCGCCCACTCCACCACTCACGTTACCCACTCCGTCATCCCTTCACCCTTGATTTTCTCATAGCAGTTGTCATTGACTGACTTGCTCTGTGTGTGTATAGAAATACATCTATGTCTGTACATGTGGTGTAGTATCAAAGGATACGGTGAACAAAGTTTTAAAAATGTATTATAGTAAAAGACACAGTACCATTCATCCCCCTCAAAATACTCTCCTTCACTTCAGACGTACTTATCCCATCATTCCTGCCACTTTCTGAAGCAGTTCTGGAAGTCTTCGTTCGTGAGTGTCTTTAGTTGTGTTGTCATGACTGTGAGACCGTCTCAAAACAAATAAATAAATAAATAAAATCCCATCTCTTAAATGTGTCTTTTTTTTTTTTTTTTTGGTTTTTCTCCGGTACCGGGAACCGAACTCACGACCTTGCGCTTGCCAGGCAGGCGCTTTTGCTGCTGAGCTAAATCCCCAGCCCCTCTTAAATGTGTCTTAACTGTAATAAAATTTTTTTGGGGGTACCAGGAATCAAACTCGACCTTGCACTTGCCAGACAGGTGCTGTGCCACTGAGCTGTATACCTGGCCCTGTAATAATTTTTTGTAAAGTTAAAATACCGTATTTTTTGGTCACACTATATATATGCATTTATCTATTTATGTGTGTATATATATTTATATATCCACTATCTCTGCCATTAAAATTGAAGATCCTTTAAAAGGCAAGTACATATTTAGTACCTCAAATAGCACCTGGATCATGAGTGGCATTCAGCAGTTTCCTGACGGATGGACAAGTACACAGTAACTTCCTAATACAGGATAAGCTGTTCCCGAACGGGAGGCACCTGGCCTACATACAGAATGAAAGGAACGTGCAGACATACTTGACACTTCACAAGGATGTCAAAGAAGTCCTCATCAGGCTCTCTGCTGTCCTCAGTCATTAGGTGGTCAAGTACCGAATGTCTGTTGTTTTTTGTCAGACGAAGCCCTGGCAAATTACTGAAGCTGGCCCTCTGGTCATCCAGACGGCGGCCCTGTGAGCTGGCAACGAGGTCGAAGAACTCGTCAGTGCTGGGGGACAGCACGGGGACAGATGGCGCTACAAACAGAAAAAGCCAAATCTTACACAACATTCACACGCGTCTATTACATACACAGTTCTTTTCTGCCTTCCCAGCCCCAGTACCTGCCCTGTCCTCCTGCTCCAGCACTGTCCCTGAGGGAGCTCGGCTAGAGATGGCTGTGCCTTCTGCTGGCAGGCAGCGAGGACGGAGACCCAGAGCACTTTAGAGGGTCCATGTGGAGATTATGCAGATCCGTCTAATGCTCACCTGAAATGTAACTGTACAGTACAGGCCTAGACTGTACAAGGTGAGTAACCTTTATAAACAGAACTTCTCAGACAAGGATGAGTAAGGATAGTGCTTTTCTTCCATTTCTTAGAATTATATAGTGAACTAAACTGAGGGTCAAGAGTTGCTGGCAAGTCCGGTCTGTGGTTAGGAGTCTTTTAGCTTAACCAGAAAAATTTAAAAGAACCTATTTTAGACGTTTCTTAAGATTTAGGCCTTTGCGGGGTGTGGTGTTGCACGCCTGTAATCCCAGCACCTGGGAGGCTGAGGCAGGAGGATCGCTGCAAGTTCGAGACCAGTCTGGGCTACAAAGTGAGCTCAAGGCCTGCCTGAACTGCATGGTGAGACCCTGTTTCAAAAAGACAAAAAAAAAAAAAAAAATTTAGGCCTTAGCTTCAGTGTCAGTCTTAGCCATATGCCTCTTTAGTCTGTCAAGAAGGTAAGTATTTGCATATGATACACAATCATGAGGCAGGTATATGCAACTATCCTTTTCTTTTTTATTTTTTTAGTGCTAGGGATCGAACCCAGGGCCTCACACTTACTAGGCAAGAGCTCTACCACTGAGCTGTATTCTCAAGCCCATCATTTTAAAGTCAGATTCTCCCCAATCCCGAAGAGGACAGAGAGGCGGATTCATACAGTCAGTACAGAGCACGCTGGACTAAACGCGGGCTGCAGGGAACTGGACCAGCCTTCTTCTGAACTGCGCAAACACCAGCGCTTTGGTGTATTCAGATTCTGGCTCAGCATTACACTGCCTGTGGTGAGAACTGAAGTCTCAGATACAATGTCGAGGAGAACGACGAAGAGCGGGGGAGAGGCACATGACTGACCTTTCCGCGCAGCGCCTGGGGGAGTGGAGGCGGCTGCCGCGGCGGCCGGGCGGCAGTGCTTCTCTTGTAGGCAGCACCGCTGATCGTCCATCCTATTGCTTTGAAATCGGCTTAACAGGTCGAAGAACCCTTCATCGCCCATGGTTTCTGCACCGATTTTCTAAACATTGACAGAGAATCGAGTCCACTTAAATATGCTGTCATTACCCTTCCATCCTTAACCAACAACAGGCTCCACCCAGATGCGAAAGGGAAAGGATGAACATTAAAATTAAAGGTCAATATTTAGCTTTAGTTTTCTAAGAATATAAGCGGCATATTGGCAGTAAAGTAATTACCAATTCAATTTAAAAAGGGCATTTCTAGTTATTTTAACTTTTAATTCCTGTATTTCTAAGTCTCAGGTCTCGGTCTGGGGAGGACCGGTGTAACTACTGAACAATGTTTGCGGACACGGCCACGCATCACTTAAAATGGTGACGTCAGAACACTTACGTTAGCCTGGGTGGTGCATGGTGCCTAACGCTCACCTAAGCTGTGTGGGATGTACTATTACACACGCGTCTGTCACAGATGGAAATGTCGCTACACAGCACACAGCTGTGTTAGCAATGCAGACATCTATCTTAGGCTTAAGTTTAGTATAAGATTCTGCAAAAGAATTTAAGTAAACTAACCTTTGTAAGAACTGTTAAAATAAGAAAGAAGCAAGTATATTTTTCCAAGCAGAGTACTTTCCAACATTTTTTTGTTTTTGTTTTCCTCCCATGCTGGGGATTAATTCCAGGGCCCACGTGTGCCTGGCAAGAGCTCACCATTGAGCCCAGATCTTTTCGAGTTTTACTCTAAGACAGTCTTGCTAAATTTCTCAGGCTGGCTTGGAACTTTGATCCTCCTGCCTCAGCCTCCTACTTAGCAATGCTTAAGGGCACATATTACCACACCTGGCTCAAAAGTATTTTTATTAATGATTTGAAGATCCTGAAAATCCATAAACTTTAAATAAATGTATATTTTTGGGAAGAGGGGCTGTCAGTATTTTTATTTGGAAGACTTCAAAGCTGAAATGATAAATACAATGTTTAATACAAGCAATTTAAAAAATTCTTTATATAATTTCAGTATTATAGTAGTGAGACAGACAGACAAAATGTATGGGCTTACGGAGGGGCCATTAACTAATTTTTAGGAAAAAGTTCAAAGCCTGTATTTGTGGTGCCTCCTTAAGAATGAATAGGCATTTTCAGATTAAACATGTTTTATCCCCATTAATATTAATTATTATTAGTGCACATCAGTATGATCCGCTTCTCTCGATCCACAGAACGCTCCTAACCCATTATACGCACCCTGTAATCTCTCCATTCGTCTGTGAGCCATCTACAGTCCGTAAAGCTGAGTAAGAAACCAGTGCCAGAAATCAAGGGAAGAATACTGCAAGGGTGTGTAGACATAACGGGAATTCTGACAGGAGGACCAAGAGAAGTCTCCCGTTTAAAAAAAATTAATTTTTTAAAGGCTCTCATTGCTTGAAAAGGGGACTTGATAATATGAAGTACCTTCTTTGTAACTTCGACTCTTTTATGAGAGCGCAGGGTACTGAGAGATTTCCTTGCTATTTATCCATAAACCCCTGGTATATTTATTTCTAACATTAAACTGAATAAATTGCTGTGTTTTTCTTTTTTTTTTTT